CATCCACCCACCCACCCATCCTTCCACCCATCCATCCTCCTATCCCTCCATCCACTCATCCACCCAATGAACAAGAGTGAGGAAGGACAACTTGATCATTTGGGAACTCCAAGCACTGACATACTCGTCCCCTCGTTAGTCCCTCACAAGTCCATGAGATGGTGGGCAGACAACCCTGGGCCCGTTTTCTGGATGAGGATGCCAAAGTCCCCTCCCCTTCCCCGGGCCCTGGCCGAACCTTCTCAAAACGGGCCTGGATGAGGTTGGCCTTGTCGATGAGCCGCTGCTTGAAGTCACTGAGGCACTCCTCCTTGAGGCGCACGGCCTGCCAGCGCGTCATCTTCTCTCCTGGTGGGAGCTGCGCCAGGAACGGGGCCAGGTAGTCCAGCTGGGCCTCCACCTGCCGCAGGTGCTCCTCGTGCATCACGCGCTCCTGTGGAGTGGGGAGAGGGTGTCAGCTGGACCAGCAGGGGCTGCAGAGACCTCTGTATCAACCAGCTCTGTATCCACATGGGACTGAACAAAACCAGGCCTCAGATCCAGGTCCCAGTGTTTGGCGCCTCTGGGACTGAGGCCTCAGAGGGGACCTGTATGCTGTCTCTTGTTGCCATGGTTATTGGTAACAGCCCACTCTTGTGTCACATGAATTCATGTCTCTACCTGAGCCTCAGCACAGAGCTAACGCTCAGTGGATGCTTGCTCAATAGATGGTAATAAATGGTGGTTATGAATGATGTTAAATCAAAAACTGCCAGTAACTCCCTTCCTTTTTCTCTTTCATCCTGGGGTCTTATGTCTTGTGTCGGCAGACAAGGGCCGGTGAATTCAGAGATGAGGAGGCTGATGCCCATCCTGGGAGTCTGAGGACCAGTCATCTGATGCCCTGTCCTGCCTCCCCAACCTCAAACTATTTTTAGAAATCTCCACGTGGTTAGTGAAGGGGATTCTGAAGCTGGCCTCGAAAACCAGGCTGGGTCTTGCAACCCGAGGGTGTAACCCGAATGCTCGCTGGGGCTCCCGGCCCAGGTCGTGACCTTGAGGGGAGCCCCAGGTGGAAGGGGGTGCACAATTTCCATTCTTTTCCATGCAGTAGAGGCCTTTACTTGGCCACAAGTCCTGGAGGTGGGGGGAGATCCTGAGTGCTCTTTGGGGGCGAACCATAGAAATGGTCATTGCAGCAGCAAGGATGACCACAGTGGTGTCAATAACTTCATCCCCTACAAAGGGCTTCCCAGCAGAATCCCTAATCCTCCTCACCACCCTGGAGGCCCGGGTTGGTGTGGGTGCAGGAAAAGCCAGGGCCTGGGCCGGGAGCAAGGCTCACCATGGCCTCCCGATACTCCTTGCTCTTCTCGTTACGCTTGGTGTCGTAGATGGAGATGGTCAGCGCGTGTGCCTCCTCCTCTTCCTCTCGAAGCTTTAGGATCTCCAGCACCTGAATTGGGAAGTGGGGGAGGGCATGGTTAAGACACCCTCCAGCCCCTGCCACCTCCCACCTGCCCACTCTCCCATGGGACGCTACCTCTAGCTCCGACTCCCAGGTCTGATGTCTGGACAACTTCTCCTCATTTTTCAGCTGCATCATGGTCTCGTACTGGTAGAGAAGCTTCTTGGTGTGCTCCATGGGCTCCACCTGGGACAACAACAGCCACAGTGACACAGAGAGGCAGCAGTGGCTGGGGTCGTGGGCAGACTCTGGAACCAGACCACTTGGGTTCAAATCTTCCCCTGCCATTTTTCCAGCTGTGTGACCTCAAGAAAGTTGCTTAACCTCTCTGGGCCTCAATTCCTCATCTATAAAAACAGAAATCATAATAGAAGAGGAACTGGAGACTCAGAGAGGCTAAGGAACGTGCCAGGAGAGGGAGGATTTGAGAGCCAGCTCTGTGGAGGTGACGGGATCTGCTCCTAGTCCAGTGTTGGTCCTGGGATCTGGGGTCTGCTCTGCCCAGGGCTTGGGGGCGGGGACAATGAGGAGTAGTTCTAGTCTGCTGGCTTGTCTTTTTTTTTTTTTTTTTTTTTTTTTTTGGTGAGGAAAATCAGCCCTGAGCTAACATCCATGCCAATCCCCCTCTTTTTGCTGAGGGAGACTGGCCCTGGGCTAACATCTGTGCCCATCTTCCTCCACTTTGTATGGGACGCCGCCACAACATGGCCTGACAAGCGGTGCATCAGTGTGCGCCTGGGGTTCCAAATCTGGGCCGCCAGCAGCGGAGGGCGCGCGCTTAACCGCTATACCACAAGGCCGGCCCCTGGTTTGTCTTTCTTGATGGAAAGGGGAAGATTTTCAGAGGAGCTGCAAAGAGAAGGGAGCCCAGATGGGAGCTCTTGATTTCCCAAGGGGCAGAGATGAATTTCCGGGCTGGGAACCGGGAGTTTCCATCCCAGTTCTCCAGAGTTGCTGGGACGGGACAAAGGGCCCCGCGCCTTCTCCTCCCAGCACCCGCCCGCCCCGCCAGCCGCGGCCCCAGGCCCACCTCGAAGCTGACGCACATGTCGGGCGTCATGATGACCTTGTTGCCCTTGCCGTCCACCTCCGTGCGCCGCAGGAACTCGCGCTTGGAGGCCGTGATGTGGTCCTCGCGGCAGTGGTAGCGCAGCTGGATGCGCTCCTCCAGGATGAGAAACGCGCGCTCCGCCACGTCCTCGTCGGCTGGCTTCGCTGGGTTGCGGAAGAAGCGCTCTGTGATTCTCTGGGAAGCCAGAACAGGCACAGGGTGGGAGGCGGCAAAGGGGATTTCCCTGTGCACCCTGAGGGCAGGAGCAAGGGACACTGGGGTCTGGGGTCATTTGGGTGTTCGTGTGGAGTGGCCCTTCCTAGCCAAATAGCGGCTCTCGTGGCCCCATGGGTTCTCAGTGCCAGGCTGCTCTAGCCCCATATAGTGCTGGACCCCTTCTCTCGCTCCCTCCACAAGACTCTGCTTGCTCACTTCCAGAGATGGGGAGCTCACCACCTCTCCAGGCAGCCTGCTCTATCCCTAGACATCCATTACTGCTAGGAAGAGCTTCTTTGGTATACAGCCATTCAACACAGTTGCCAAATAACTTGTAATGATATGAAGAAAAAAAACGCACAATTTAATATTAAGTGGGTGATACAGGGATTCTACCTACACACACACTTTCTCATACACACATACACACACCTCGGTTAAGTTAGAAAAGACTCTGAAAACCAAACCTATTAATAAGTGGGAATATCTGAGAGATACTATTCTGAGATATTTTTACTTTTCTCTTTATATTTTTCCATATTTTCTAAACGCTTAGTCACGAGTGTGTGTTTTCTATAACGGTGAGGGGATAATACCTCCTCGGCCCAGTGGCTGAGGGTGCAGTCTGGCATCAGATGCCCCGGGAGCGTGCATGTGGTGAATGTTCACTGCTCGTAGCTAGGGCTGGGGAAAGGTTGCTTGGGAAAGATGCTGCGCCGGGGTTGGGGCTCCCCCCGTCCCAGGGTAACCTCAGCCTGCCAGAGAGGGCGGCCCCCCTGTCCCCAGGCCCAGCAAGTTCTCACCACTATGGGCCGGGGGTTTGACTCTGCGCTGTTCAGAGCCAGCTTCTTGACCCTGGGCCCGAAATTGACGTCGCGGTAGGAAAGGAAGTCAGACCGTCCTTGATAGTACTCTGTCATTGTCTTGGGGGTCTCTTCCCGCTTTAGCAGGCCGTCCACACGGGCTGTTTCATAAAACTCCATGACGCGCTCCATCTCAGGCTGCATGGACCTGTATGAGTGCACTGCGGTGGGAGGCAAGGACGGGGAGACGGCTGGGTGAGCACCACGAGCTCTGGCCGCTGGCTTGATAACCCAACCCCAGGCCCCAGGGACAAGGCACGTCCATGGATGAGCATTAGGTATATAACCAATCCCCTACTGCTGGGTATTTAGGCTTTTCCCAACTTTTTTGTAGGTATAAACACCACCATAATGAACATCTGCACCATGCCTTTTTTCTTCTAGCTTGTTATTTGCTCAGGACAAATTTTCAGCAGTAGAATTGCTGGTCAAAAAGTGTATACATTTTAAGGCTATTATTGACATATTTTGCCCAACTGCCCTCTAGAAAAGTTGTGCCAATTTGCTTTCCTACCAGCAGTGACAGGGAGCAACTGTCTGCTGCTTTGCACACTTGCTTACACCTGGTAAGACCATTTTTTCATCTTTGCCAACATGAGGGGCAAGATGGTCCCTTAGTGATTTAGTTTCATTTTTTTAAAATTTCAACCCCTAGGGGCCTGCCCGGTGGCATAGTGAATGAGTTCGCATGCTCCACTTTGGCAGCCCAGGGTTCGCGGGTTCAGATCCTGGGCGCGGACCTAAGCACCGCTCATCAAGCCGTGCTGTGGGCGCGTCCCATACACAAAAAATAGAGGAAGATGGGCACGGATGTTAGTTAGCTCAGTCCCAATCTTCTTCACCAGAAAAAAATTTCAACCACCAAATGAGGTTGATCATTTTCTAAAACGTATTTTAATCTTGCATTTTTCTCTTATGATTTGTTGGGCAGAGCTGTTGATTCTCTCCTGAGACATGTCCTTCCCTCCCCTCCCGGCCTCCTGAGCTCCTGGCCATGTCCACACCCTCCACACCCTCAGCATTGGCTCAAATGTGGGGGCATTTGTTGGTTTTGTTCCTCAGCATGCTGATCCCCATGAATGTGGCCCCCACTGTGTGCCTGATCCCAACCACAGAATGGGCACGTGGCCCTGGCTTTGACTTTCCTGGAGGAACACTTGTCACGTTTCCCTGGATTTTCTGTGCTTCCCCTGACCTCCCACACAGCTGGTTTGCTTAGGGAAGCAGGGTGGTTTCTGTTGCTTGCCCCCCAAGAACCCTGGCAATACAGAGATACTGGTTCCTCCCACCACATGCCAGCTGCCACGGAGGAGGCTGCTGTAAGAAGTCTGTGAGGCCCCACCCAGGGCTCCTAGCTGGCCTGCAATGGGGCCAACCTACCACGCAGAGCCTGGGGGTGGCCTGGCTTGAAGTAGTCGATATTCAGGCCCGTGCTCTTGTTTATACGCCTCAGCTCCAGCCTGTCCTCCCGGTTCTGGTACCACTCATTTATCTCCAAAGTGTTGGTACCTGTGGGGCCCGATCGGTGCTTGCTGCAGCCAGGCCAACTCCGTCAGCCTGTCTCCACCATTCCCAGCACACAGAGGCCGGCAGGGCCCACGCGCACCCCGAGAGAGCGGCAGTGACGTGCCCGAGGTCACACAGCAAGTGGGGAGACCCAGCTCTCCTGCTCCCCGCAGCCGGGGCTGCCCCCCTTACACTCCAAGTCCTCGTAGGTGGTGAGGCGGCACACGAGCCCATTGCTGTTGAGGTACGGGGCCCACTTCTCCAGCTTTGCCCTCTTGTACTGTATCACCTTCTTTCCATTTGGGCAGCGAGTCTCGAACGCTGCGGACGCAGAGCGAGCTGGGGTCCCTCCTCCCCGGAGTGGGAGAAGAGAGGGCCAACCCCACCCAGCCACTGTCCATTGCGCTGTCTGCTAAGCTCCTGCAGGCCCCCAGCCCCCTCCAGGGAGGCGGAGGAGAACAGTCACCAGGGGCGGCTCTGCCCTGGACGGGTTCTCAGGTTGGAGCCTGACGCAGGATCTGCGCCCTGCCACATTGCACTGTCTCGCTGCCGGGCTTTTACCTGTGCAGGTCTCTCTGCTGGAAACACCGTCTCCTCCTGCCCTTACTGGGCTAACTCCTTCTGATCCCTCAAAACTTCGCTCAGATGACCCCTCCTCCTAGAAGCCCTTTCTGCCCACCCACCCCACGAGCCCCAATCCCAGGGCTGGGCTGGGTTCTCCTCCCCTGGGGTCCCATGACACGCTCTCTAGTCCTACCCTGTTGGAATGGCCTATGCCCTCCCCGTGGGCTGGATGCTGCCAGACGGGAACCTCAGCAGCCAGCAGAAGTCGGCATGGGGCACGAGCGTCCCCGTCCTCCTGCTTTCTCTACCTGCCCCTCCCTGGTCCTGACATCCCCTCTCCTGTGCCATGTGGGTGCTGTGCATGGCCTCCTCCCGGCAGAGTGGGGTGAAGGAGGGGAACGGCTGGTCCTCGGTCCTCCCTCACCTCCCACACTCCATCATCCAGCACATGTTAACTGAGCCCCCTCCTGTCTGCCAGAATGGTGTCAGGCCCTCGGCCATGGAGCTCAGTGTGTGTAGCAGGCGGGAAGCAGGAGGGGTGGGAAGCAGGAGGGGTGGCAACCAGGGGCCAAGGCAGCCTCTGCTGGCCTCCCCCTGCCTGGCTGGTGCCGCAGGCCTCCCCAGAGGCCCGGGAGCCAGTCCCGGGGAGTGAACACAAACACACAGGTACCTTCCGGGGAGATCTCAATCTGCTCCACCCACGAGGTCGGCATGTCCCAGCTCTTGTCCTCATCCTCCTTGCACTGTTGGGAGAGGTGGGGCGGGGCGGGCTGGTTCTGGTCAGGGCTGGGTCTTGAAGCAGAAGTTACGGGAAGAGCTTCTGTCTCGCCCCCCCAGGGCCAAGCCAGGGTGGCTCATCGACTCCCCCAGAGGGGCCAGAGGTCAGGGGCAGTTCTGACCTGGCGTGACCCAAGACAGGGAGGAAGAGGAGGAGGCAGCTCCTCGCCAGGAGCCCTCCCCTGCACCCGCCTGGCTGGGACAGCAACACCCCTGTCCCCACGCGCCACCTTCTCTCTGTCGTCAGAGGCCTCAGGCACAGCCCTTCATTAAGAGAGGGGCTTCCGGAGTCGGGTGGACCCAAGTCCCAGCCTCCATCCAACACCAGCGAGTCCCTTAACCGCTCTGAGCCTCGGTTTCCTGACTGTGAACTGGACCCCTCAGGATTAACTGATAGAATGGATGTCAAGGGCTTGGGACACTGCCTGGCTGCCCTTACTGTTTTTTTTGTTCTCTTCGAGCCTTAGTTTCCCCATCTGTAAAATAAGGCCTGTCTAGACAAAGGGTCCTCAAACTAGGTAACCACAGAAACTTTTCTCAATTTAAAACTTTTCTTCCACAAACGTTGCTCAGACCTCTGACGCCTGCTCATCTGATCGGTCCACGTCTCAGGGCCAGCAGGGGGCGCCTGTGCCCCAGATTGCACAGGGAGGCTCTGGTCTCCAGAGACGAGGACCCTGAGAATGCTCGACACCAGTTCCAGGCATGTCCACGCTGCCAAGCCAAGCACATCACAGCAGTGGTCTCATTTTGTCCTCAAGCAGTCCCAGGAGGTAGAACAGAGTCACCATTGGGAGCCCAGACTTGGGAGCCAGACTATCAAGTCTCAGGTTCAAATCCCAGCTCCACCACCTACTGGCTGTGTAACTTTGGGTAAGTTAGTTCACCCCTCTGTGCGTTAAGTCTTCCTGTCTGTGAAATGGGAGGATAATAGTCATGGATGCTAACCCTAGTACCACTTCACCAGGTGGTTGTGAAGACTTAGATGAGTTAATTCAGGTTAGCAACCCCTGTCACTTAGTAAGGGCCATGTGAGTGTCGCCTACTGTTAGGGGCTGAACTGTGTCCCCTCAGAATTCCTATATCCTAACCCCTGGTTCCTAAGAATGTGGCTATATTTGGAGACAGGATCTGTAAAGAGGTAATTAACTTAACATGTCATTAGGGGGGTCCCTAATCCAACATGACTGGTGTCCTTATAAGAAGAGGAGATTAGGATCCAGATGCACACAGGGAGGACCGTGTCAGGACACAGGGAGAAGACGGCCATCTACAAGCCAAGGAGCGAGACCAACCCCGCTGACACCTTGATCTTAAACCTCCAGCCTCCAGAACTGTGAGAAAACAAATTTCTGTCTGTGGTACTTTGTGGTGGCAACTCTAGCAAACAAATACACTTATTATTACTCTGAATACAACTGACCCCACTCCCCCACTTTACATCCAGACAATTAAACTGAAGCTTCCAACGATCAGAAAGTTTGCCTAAGGTGTCCAAGCCAATAGCTGAGGCCTCTGGGCCCCTGATGTCCACACACAAGGCCTCAAGTGGACCTGCCTGGAAGGCCCCTTACCAGGAGATGAGAGAAGCGATGCTGACGAGTTGGGGAAGGCCCCAGGCCAATGACCTTTAGAAGGGCTGATAGGATGGACAAGAAAGGCCTGGAAGTACAGGGGGGATCATGGTGGCTATGCAGGAAGGCCTGGACGTGAGGAATGGCCAGCCTTGGGGCTCCGTGGGACTTGTGGAGAGGGTCTTATCACCCGAGAGGAGCAGGGCAGCCCCTGAACAGGGTGGACTGTGTGGGAGGCAGGAGACCTTAAGGCAAGTCCCAGCCCTTCCCTAAGCCACTGGGCAGGGCACTGGACCTGTCTGGGCCTCAGTTTGCCCATCTGTAAAATGAGGGGAGGGTCCAGGCCCTTCTGCTTTTTTTTTTTTCTTTTTTTTTTGTGAGGCAGATCAGCCCTGAGCTAACATCCATGCCAATCCTCCTCTTTTTGCTGAGGAAGGTTGGCCCTGGACTAACATCCGTGCCCATCTTCCTCCAGTTTTTGTGAGACACCACCACAGCATGGCTTGACAAGCCGTGTATTGGTGCGCGCCTGGGATCCAAACCCAGGCCGCCAGCAGCGGAGCGCGCGCACTTAACTGCTACACCACGGGGCCGGCCCCAAGGCCCTTCTGCTCTGAGGAATCTATAATTGGTCCATCTGGACTGTCCCCCCCAGTACACATCGTGTGGTGGGGACATTTGTCAGGCTGGCAAGACAGGGTGTGAAGCCCTTCCCCACACCCCGCGGCCCCACGTGCTGCTGCGCCTCACCAGATCTTCCACGTCCTCGTCATCATTCGTGCCACTGTCGTCTTCCTCAGATGTGGACAGGTGAGGCTTGTCGGTCCCCAGGAGCAGGTACTCCCACCTCACGGGGTCTCCCAGGTCAAAGACCAGGTCCTGATAGGGGAGGGACTCAGCTGAGTGCACCCCACTGCCACCACATCCCTCCTGCTCCATGGGGTGGGGTGGGGGGGAATGGCTGTGCCCAGAGTAGAGAGGGGCCCTGGGCCCGGGGCACAGAGGAACAGAGTGTCGGCTCCGGCCAGCCTCTGAGTGTCCCCGCGCCCTGCTCACTTCAGCAGGGAAACTGAGGCCCGAGCAGGGTTGGAACTCCCTTCCCGTTGCCCAGTCTTCCCATGAAGAAATCCCGTTGTTGGTCCTGTGAGAGACTTGGAAACTCTGTGGCCTGGGAGTGGCCTGGACGTGGGGGTCGTTCTGCATTGTCTAGGGGGCGTCCCAGGCACGTTTAGAGCAAACGCACGCCAGTGAGATCTTATGGGAGGGGGACGGCAGGGTTGGAAAAAGCCCTCCTCGCGGTTTCACCCAGGCCAGGAGGGAGCTGGGCAGGCACACGTGGAACTGTCCGGAAGACGCAGGTGGGAATTTCTCATGGTGTGGGTCTCCCACCTCTTTTCATCTCAGCCCACCTGGGCCTCGGGTCACTTGCCAGATGACTCCCAGCAGGTGGGGAGCATCCCACATCCCAATCTACCTCCCCCGCCCCACCCCAATGCCCCTGAATCAGTGTTCCAGAGAGAGGTCGAGGGCTTAAGAACAGCTGCCCCCAAGGGGTTTTAACACGAAGCTGTCCTGGTGCCACCCTAAACCTAGTCCTCGCTGTAGGATCTGAGTCCCCGAGGGCCTCTGAGGGTGGCTGCTCTGCTGGGAGGTTGGGGGGGGCATGGCGGAGGAGAGGGAGGGAGAGACTGCTCGTAGATGTAACAGTGACCACCAATAGTCAAGGCTTCGTGGAGAGGAACCAATTGTACAGATGTTTGTATTTCCTTAAATCACGTCCTCCACTCTGTCGCTTTTGTAAGTAATAAGCAGTAGTTAGATGTTATGCCTTGCTACTTTAAATTAATGTTTAATTTCTATTTTTAAAAAAGCATAAATGAGTGGACAGCTCCCACGTCCCACGAGCCTGGGTGTGTGCGCACCAGGCAGTCTGTGTGCGGGTGCCTCGCCGTCGCTCCCCACCCGCAAGGCCATTTCAACGTTCTTTGACGGAACAAAGCAGCCACTCCCGTGCTCATCAGGCAGTAAAAGTGACCGCCAGTGTCGCCATCTCTTTCTTCGTGCCCTCACTTGGTGACGCGGTACTGCCCCTCTGGCCTCACTTTCCCACCCAGCCACCCTTCCATCTCCATCTCATAACTTCCGTTATCCGTGTCACCTCCACCTGGCGCTGGCGCAGGGCATGTGGGGAGGGGAGGCTGAAGGGCCTTCAGCCTGGAAGAGGGCGAAGGAGGACCGGCGCGGCCTCTGAAGGGCCGTTATCCTTCAGAGGGCACTGACCACTGTGGCAGGTATGAGCCTGGGCCCTGGGGGAGGGCAGTCTGGGCTCTGCCCCATCTGTGTGGTCGGGAAAAGTTCTTTTTGTCAAATGAGAGGAACAATAGCTAACATATTTGAACGGCCAGGGACTACACGAGCACCTACTGAGTGTTATTTCCCATAACCCTGTGGGGTCAGTGAGGGCCGAGCAATCCTGGGATCAGCGGCCGAGGGAGGCCAGGGGAGGGGGTGTGGCTCCTCCACTGAAGGCAGAAGTTTCTCCACCTCGGAACATCTGACTTCCCCACAGACCCAGAGTGACTTGCGCCAGAGAGAACGTGCATTAACTCTGCTCCTCTCCCCAGCGGGTGACAGCTGTCCCCGGACAGGGTCACTTAGGAATACGGGGGAAAGGGTCCAGGATCTGCCTTTGGGAAGCTGGCCTGGCTGGAAATGGAGGAACTTGGAAACAACAAAAAAGCCTAGGACCTAGAGCCTGGAGCCTGTCTCTCTTTCGATTTGTGCACAGCTCAATGAATTTCCACCAACTGGACGCACCCTGGTTCCCTGCACTGAGATCAAGACAGAGAACGCTGCCCGCAGCCCAGAAAGCCCCTTTGTGTCCAGTTACGACCTGCCCCCAAATATGTGCATGTGTTCTTAACTTATGTAAGTGGTACTGAGTTTTATATATATATAAATTTGTGGAAATTCATTGAGCTGTAAACTTAGGATGAGTGCACATTTCTGCTTGTATGTTACACTCCAATACAACGTTTTCAAAAAACTCATTCATACAAACTAACAATCCACATTTTATAAGGATATGCAAATCAAAAGAGAGACAATAATCATATTAGAACGGTAATTTATGGGCAAAGGAGTGGGCTGAGGGGACTCAGCTGTGGGGAAAGTCCGAGGCCCTCATGGCCCGGTGGCCCGCTCTCCCCACTGGCCGTTGCCTCCCCCTGTTCTGCCAGCTGCGCCTGCCGCACCCGCCCAGGCCCCAGCCCGGCACCTTGCAGCAGTTCCAACAGTCCTGCATGTTGACCCAGTAGTTCTTGTGGTTCCAGAGGCTCTCGATGCCCAGGAAGTGGTCGTCCTGCGGGCTGTAGCTGCGCGCCGTGAACGGGTCAATGAAAAAGCTCTCCGGCACCTCGCGCTTTCCTGCCAGCACCAGGACCCAGCAGTGCACCCGCAGGCCGTGCAGGGGGTCGGTGTTTGCCTTCTCTGCCTCCTACACAGCAAAGGTGGGTGACTACGGGCCAGATGGGTGGGAAGGGGGGCATCAGGGGCCCAAACATCTCCCCGGGGCTGAGGAACTGGCAGGAGACCTGAGTTCTGACCCAGACTGCACCATTGGCTGGCTGTGTGACCTTGAGGACATCGCCCCACCTCTGAGCCCATTTTCTTATCAATAAATTGGGAGGGTCTGACTCCATCTGTGGTTTACAAACTGGGCCCTCTGGAGCTCTAGGGTATCTGGGATTCACTGGCTTTCTGTGTTGTGATTCTGAGTGAGATTTCATCCAAACAAAGGTAGGGGGACACCGTATGGCTTCTTTGTCTGCCTCCTCTGGGAGAAAGGCGATTGTGTCATGTTCATTATTGTATCCCCAGGGCCTGGACCAGAGGAGACACTCAGTAAATACTACATGGAAGGAAAGAAAAGACGGGAGGAAGGAAAAGAAGGTGGGAGGGAGGATGGGAGTGTGGATGGACAGAAGGAGAAACGGGAGGATGGATGGACGGAAGGAGAAATGAGAGGATGGATCGAGAGAAGAGATGGGAAGATGGATAGATGGAAGGAGAGACGGGAGGACGGGTGGGAGGGTGTGTGTAGGTTCATCTTCAGTGCAAACGTCTGGTATGAGGAGAAGACCAGCACTGCCCAGCATCAGATGGGTTGCCCCGGGCAGCAGAGCTCGCTGATGTTGGAAATCCATCCCTAGAAGCTGGCTGACCACCAGGGGGAGATTCCCACCGGCCTGGCGGCGGGGATGGGGAGTGCTTGAGGGGTGGAGGAGGGGTTTGGACATGGGGGTCCGGAAGCACATCCCTTCCATGCCCTGTGTCTGGTTGCCTGTTCCTAGCAGCCCCTGCTCGAGAGCTGAGCTCAGGGGTCGAGGGCCGAGGACGATGGACCCACCATGAGCCGTTCCTCCTCCTCCCTCAGCCGCCTCTCCTCCTCAGCTCTGATCTCCTCTTGCTTCTTCATCACCTGCTCCTGCTCAAACCTGCTGCTCAGGTCCCGGGGGGGTTTGATGGCGTACTTCTTAGCCGGTGGCTTTTCCTCCTCCCGGACCGTCTGTCACCCAATGAGAGCAAAATGATCAGTGGCCTGGAACTGCCTGCCCCTCGGACCAGGAGATCCCAACTGCTCCTGGAGCCTGCGGGCTCTCTGGCCCTAAGTGCAGAAAGAGCCTCAGCCCCAGCTCTGTGGCCGTGGGTGAGTCCTCCCACCTCCCTAACCTCAGGCTCTTCTGTAAAGTGGTGTGAGAGTCAGAACCTTCTCCCCGGGCTTGTTCTGAGAAGTAAAGACAGGAAAACACCCATGGGCAGGAGCTCAGGAGATGGGATTTTCTCCTCTTCATTCCCCACTGCCCAGCTAGCTATGATCTGGATCTCATCTAGAAAGTGGGGCAAACGGTCAGGAGTCAGATTTTCCAAATTTTGTCATTGGAGGGTGTCCTACGTTGACTTAAAGTAAGTTTGTCGGGCAAGGAAGAAGAAAGCCTGTGTGTGTGTGTGTGTGTGTGTGTGTGTGTGTGTGTATATGAATGTGTGCTAGGTGGCAGAAACATGTCCAGGAGAGAACACCACAGAGGCTGCAGGAGTAGGCCTGTGACAGTTATGAGGGAGAAACAGCAAATCTCTATGGTTTAGAGTCAGACAGACTGGGCCTCGGTCCCGGCGTCTGCATTTACCAGCCGTATGACTTGGGCCACGTAAGTGCCCCTCCTTCTTACATCTCAACACACTCATCTGTGAAACAGGAGTGATGGTACCTCCCACACAGCACTATCGTGACGAGTGATGAAGTCAATGGACATGAAAGTGGTTTATAGCCCGGAAAGTTCTCTGCATCTGTTAGCTATTGATATCATTTTCATAATTAGAATTTTGGCTGAGATAAGAGACCAGCGTGTGAGCTCACAGGCCTCTGGAGCCCAAAGCAGTGAGGGAGCCTTTGTTCCCTCCTCCTTGGAGAGGAGGGCCTGACAGCAAGGCCCTCACCTGGTACCTCCCCTCCGTCTCGCCTCCCTCCACCAGAACGCCCACCCCGGGTCCCCAGGGGCTCGCCCAGGTGTAAGCCAGTGCACACGCATCCCGCTGGAGCCCCAGGACCCTGGACCCCCAGCCCTGAGCTGCAGATGCCCCTGGGGATTTGACCCTGATCACAAAGTCCTGGAATCAATCCAGCTCATGAAAAGCACTTTCTGCCTGGCTATTTTCCAAATACAAAGAGATGCTTTCATGATTCCTAAAATTTAATTCACTTAAGAGTGTTTCTTGTGTTCGCAGAACCTCTGACCATTATGGAGCTCTCAGTCAACAGGTATGAAAACACAGCCACCACCTGCTGGAGGGTTGCTGACATTTTTTTGCTGTTAAAAAGGGGGCCTTTTTACTGGGAGCAGGGGAAAAATACAGAACTAAATGCCTGTCCGTTTGTCTGTTTTTTCCTTATATGAAAACGGCTGGATGGATTTTTATCAAGTGCGTAGGGTAAGTTCGGAAGGGTTTGACTTAAGATATAAGCCATGTGGCATTCAGAAAATTTGCTTTATGGGGAACACAGTAGCTGAGTTATGACAAGGCGAGAGGGACAGTTTGGGAACTGGGCAGTAGGCGTTGAGACGCTGAGGACAGAGAAATCACTGGCAGTTTGAAATGTGAACTCCAGGGCAGCTGCAGGGCTGCGTGGTGATGCTGCGTTGAAGGGGCCGCGACAGGGGGAGGAGTAGCAGGGACACACCGCTTTAAGGATGGCGCGTCTGGCAGGACGCCGAGGGCAGCGCGAGCCCGCCGTACCTCCCTGGGCTTCACGGTGAGGGGGCACACCTCCCGGGTCAGGTCCATGTGGCACAGGTCCTGCGAGCCGTACCCGTTGACGCAGTAGGCGTCATAGCCAGAGCCGATGAGCATGGAGCAGAGCAGCGTGCTGAAGTCAAAGCAGTTCCCCTTCTGGCACTGGAGCACCGTGGTCGAGGAGTACAGGTGGGAGGGCTGGCCACAGCGGGCTGGTCAGCAGGGCCGGGCCCCCCTGCCCCCGACCTGTCCTCCCCATGTGTCAAGGGCTGGGCACTAGGGCCGACGGGCAGGCTGGACCCCAACAGGGGTCCTCACCTTTGTCAGGGTAGGGAGCTGCTAAGAGTGGGAGGAAAAGCACAGGCCCTGTGTCCAGAAGGTGCAATCCACTTTGCCTGTACTTTTAAGGGGATGTGGACTTCCTGATGGGAAAGACCCTCTGGACCGTAGAAGCTTCTGGTCTAATGTTCTCTGATTGGTCACTTGATGGTTTTATTCCCAAGTCCCCCTCCCCTTCTACCCCCATCCCTTCCTTCTCTTCCCTGTCTCAGTTCTCCACTGTGCACCAGTCCCTTTCTCCCCGCCCCCTTCTCAATGAGAAGCAGATTGAGCTGGTCAGAAGCCCAAAGATGGGGCCGAGGCCCACAGGCAGCAGGGCCCTCCCCTCGCTCTCCTTTCCCCACCTCCTGAAGTTGTGAAAGGAAGACTCTGAAGGCAGATAGAGGCAAAGGAGGCAAAGAGGCGGAAGCTGGGGGACCAGGCTTGCTGTGTGACCTCAGGCAAGTAGCTGCCTGTCTCTGGGCCTGTTCCCTGACCCTTCCCAGACACATTCATGGGCTGTGGCCTGAGCCCTGCTGAGCCTCCTTCTCCCGACCTGCCTGGATTCCCATCTAGGCCCCATGGGCCTAGGGATGCAGCCCTGGGGTGGCACTTACCGGCTTGAGGGGGTCGGGCAGAGGCACCATGGAGAGGAAGTCTGAGACAAACTGGGCACAGCTGTCCCAGTTGTAGAGCTCGGGGTAGGGCATCAGCGTGGGCCGGATGGTTGTGCTCACAAACTTCTGCAAGGGGACAGACCACAGGCTCCTGGGAGGACATTCCACCTAGTAGGAGACCTCGGCACTCTCAGGAAGCCTGGGAAGCTGGAGACCTGGGGCGGAGACCTAGGCCTCTCTGGGTCTTGGGCTCCCCTGGTGTTGGGAATTGGAGGAAGATGTCCCTCAAGACCCTTGCAGCCCAGATCTAGAATAAGCTTGTGCTATTCCTGGTGGCCACATTGTGTCAGGGCCTCCCTGTCACCACCACTGCCCTACCAAGTGCCAGCAGACCTGGCATCACCTCTCCGGTCCCCCAACAACCCTGTGAGGCAGGACCCATTGACAGATGAGGAAACTGAGGCCCCGAGAGGTCAGCTGACTGGCTCAGGTTCACGGTCAGTAGCAGAGCTGAGTCTGTCTGGCTCTAGACCACCGCCCAATGTGGGAGACCCAGTGCTTCTAGGGCCCTGGAGGGGCTGCTCTGCCACACTTGGCCCACGGGCCAGGCCCCCAGGATCTCCCTGTGGACTCGAGAAAGGCCCCAAGGCACCGGATCTCGCATGGCCCCACATAAGGTGCAGCCTCAGTGCAGCCCCCTCTGATTGCTGCAGGGGCAATGCAGGCCTGGGATGACCAGACCAAGAGAAGAGGGGCCTAGGGAACCATCTGGATGGGAATTCCTGAGTTTCACGTGCTGGTAGCTAATACAAATGTTGAAAATCACCCCGTGGGCCAAATAGAACAGTCTGTGAGTCCAGGTCAGCCTGTGGGCTGCCGTCGTGCAAACTTAGGATTCATCCCGTGCCATTCTGTCTATTGATGGGGAAACTGAGGCCCAGAGAGACTCAAGGACGTGCCCTGGTTCACAGGGTAGAAGGAAGGAGGCCAGTGCTCAGGTCCTGGCCCATTTTGTGTTATTTCTCTGCCCTTCCCCCGGCAGAGCCGGCCTCTGGGGCTGGAGACTGCCCTGGGCGTCTGGCTGCCCCTCAGGTGGGGCGGGGGGTCTCCAGGCCAATTCCCAGCGAGCCTGCTAGGGCCTGCGAGCACGTGAGTTTACGCTGCCCTTGGACTATCAGCTCTGGCCCACGGGAGGTCTGTGCTGTGGCCCATCTCTTTCCGCCTCCTGCCCTTCCCCCTGGTCCTGCCCTCCACCCCCGGCCTTACGGGCACTCCACACTCGTTCAGCGGGTGCAGGAAGAGGGGCACGCGGTCCGGGCACAGGTGGCTGTACTGGCGGGAGAAGTTGTCTGCCACCTGCAGCAAGAGTTCCTCCTTGGGCGTATTGCTTTGGTAGGAAAGGGGCAGCTTGGAGATGTCGATAGCGTCACTGGTAAAGATCCTGTGCCCACAAGGGGGATGGTATTAGTTCGCCTGAGGCTAGACCCAGCGCTCAGAGAAACTTCTATCCACCTTAGCTGCCATTGTTCTATCCCTTCCTCATTCAATCCTCACAACTACCTAGGAGGGAAGTATCGTTATAAGCATCTTTACTTTTAAACAGATAAGAGAACTGAGGCACAGAGAGGTTGAGTGACTTGCCTAGGGTCACACAGCTAGTGAGGGGCAGAGTGGGGATTTGGAGCAGGCAGCCTGAAAGCACAGCCCTCACTCATAACCGCCTCCCTCTCCATCCTGGTCCTGCCTCCCAGCGCCGGCGCCACCATTCCGCCTGGCTGCTCCTTCACCCAGCCTGCTCTGACCCCCACCAGGGCTGCTGGGCGGAAGCCCCCATCCTGACACTCACGAGGGCTTCCCCGGGATTACGATCTCCGACAGCTTCTTCTCCAGGTCCCTGAGCATCTCCTGCGTGAGGGGCGGTTCCTCCCTCCGCACCTCCACCGGCCTCATCATCTTCTCTCCCCTCTCGGCCCGCTCCGCTGCCTCCTCCCGCTCGGCCGCCTCCTCCTCCTCCACTTTCTCCTTCAGGACCTCCATCCTGGCGCGTCTCTGGCCGTCTAGAGATGGAGTCTCTGCGGGAGGGATAAAAGCCCTCAGAAGGGCCGACTCCAGACCGGAAAGGAGCCACCACGACCACCTGTGTCCTGGGCGGCAGTTTCAGGTGGATTAGAAAGATCTCCCTTTAAAACAAAGACAAAGCAGGCCACGGATTGAGAGCAATTGTTAGGGCTGGAGCAGGCAGCCCCCACTTACCGATATTGCTTTGCTTTTTCGTATATTTATTTTGACGGTCCCTTCTCGTTGTGGCAAGTGATGCTAATACTATAGGGACTGTTCTAGTATTCCTATTCAACAGAAGTTTCCTATTAAATATATTTATTAAGTCCAATAAGTGAATTGGTTTAAAGAAAATTATGCAAAATAGTAAGGTGATATGGAATATGATCAAAAAAAAAAGAAGGTAATATCACCAAACATGGAACTGAGGCACAGAGAGAGCAGGGCAGGGCTGCCACCAAGGCACAGGGATAAGGGGCAGGTGGAGGTGAGGGTGACACAGCCTGCGCTCTCCTGGCCCAGCCCTGCATCAGCCCACAGGATGGAGATCATTTCGTGAGCCACTTCGAGACGCCGTATGTGCTCATGTGCCCCGGGGAAGGCCTCGCCTGCGCCGCAGAGCAGAGCCTCCCCAGGTGGACTGCTAGTTGCCTACCCAGAGATCCAGTCCCCCCTTCCATGTGGCAGAACCCCAATTTTGTTGGGGGCAGCAGTGTGCCTGGTTCGGAATGTTCGGCTTCCCAGCCTCCCTTGCAGCTAGAGGTGGCCCTGTGACATGAACCCTGTTCTGGCCCATGGGATGCGAGTCGAAGTTACTGGATGTGAAAGGCCAGGGCCCAGCTGGCACCGACTCTTTGCCCTTCTCCTCTTCCTGCCTGGGACATGGACATAAAGTGTGAGGTGGGACAGCCGATGCATGACCATGAGGTGACCACACCTGAGGACCACAGCTGCCTGCTGAGGATGGCAGAGTGGAGAGCCGGGGGAGCCGGGGTCCCAAGGGGCCTGTGGAGCCCTTGAGTGCCACCTCCAGCCTGCCCCTTGTGTGGAAAACTCAGCCTCTGCTTGTTCAAGCGGCCCTGTGGGGTTTCTGTTCCATCAGCCCAGCTGATCCGCCAGCCTCCTGCCTCCCGGCTCAGGTCTCTCCACTACCCCACCTCAAATATCTATTTTCTTCCCAGCAAACAGGGCAAAGGCCTGGAAAGGAGGAAAACAGACTCAATGCACAGGATGTGGTGGGGGGGAATGGTGAGGACTGGGGAGAAAAGAGCAGGGTGTCCCAGATTTGTCATCACTCCCTGGGGTGCAGCCAGGACCGAGGCGGCAACAGGCAGCAGGAGGGAAATGCCGGGCCCCACCTCCCTGCTCCAAGCCCTACCTGGCCGCCTTGGCCTCTGAGTGGCAGCCTGGCTAGGGGGATAACCTGGCTCTGCTGGCAGCTCCCCAGGGCCACTCCCTGCCCCGGTCTGGGCCTCAGTTTCCCCTTCTGCAATATGAAAGGAGGGACAGATGTTTCCTGTCCGATGCTGACATTCTGTAGGACTCAGGAGGGGATGAACGCACCTGTTACTGGAGGTCTGCCCGCCCGAGTCCCAGGTGGTCAACATCCCAAATGAGGCCTTGTGTCCCGCAGCCCATTCAGGACCCCAGTTCCCTGCAGGCGGACCTCCCACTGTGCCCACCAGCCAGGCAGCACAGCCCGGTGATCAGATCCCGGCACAGAGAGGATGCCTCACAGAAAGGGCAGTCATAACCATCAGAAGGCACTCACGCCTACTGTGCGCCGGGAGCTGTGCTAAGGGTTATGTGGAGATAATCTCATTTATCCTCCATGGCTCTGTGAGATCATAGAAAGTATATATTGTCTTGGCCCCCTATTCCTGGCACAGGGCTTCTGAAACCTTTGTAATTTCCTAAGTGATAGGACCACTAGGAGCATCTTTTGTTCACTGAGGTGACTCTGGGGGGGCTCCTGGAAGGCTCCTGGATGGGGGTGGTCACCAGAAAGACCAAGCCATGATTAGAAGCTTGGAATTTTCAGCCCCACAACCCCTCACTTCTCTAAAGAGGGGAGAGGGGCTGGAAATGGAGTTAATAATTGATCATGCCTACATGAGGAAGCCTCCATAAAATCCCAATAGTATGGGGTTTGGAGAACTTCCAGGTCAGTGAACACATCCACGTATAGGGAGAGTGACATACCCTAACTCCATGGGGACAGAAGCTCCTGCGCTCGGGACCCTCCCAGACCTCACCCTATGTATCTCTTCATCTGGTTCATCCGTATCCTTTTCATATCCTTTAATAAACTGGTGTTTCCCTGAGTTCTGTGAGCCACTCTAGCAAATCAATCAAACCTGAGGAGGGGCCATGGGAACCTCCAATTTGTAGCCAAGTCGGACAGAAGTTGTGGGTAACCTGGGGACCGACCACTTGCAACTGACCTCTGAAGTCGGGTGGGAGCAGTCTTGTGGGACTGAGCCCTTAACCTGTGGGATCTCTCACTGTCTCCAGGTAGATAGTGTCAGAACTGAGTTCAATTGCTGGACCCCCAGCTGGTGTTGTGCAGAATTGCTTGGTGGGGGGAGAAAAATCCCATACATCTGGTCAGAAGTGAAGTGTTCTGTGTGGCTAAAGGGGGCGCACAGGAGGTGGAAGACCGAACTGGGTTTTCCCATTACAGACCCTATGAGGCAGACACTATGATACCCACTCAGCAGATGAGAAAATCGAGGCCTAGAGAGGTTAAGTGCACTGCCTCAGGTCATAGAGCTGGTAAGTAGCAGATCTGGGGTTCGAACCCATATATTTCTGGCTCTGAAACCCATGCACTTAAGGGCCTAACGAGATGGGGAAGTCCTAGAAGGGAGGGTAATGGGGCAGTGGAGAGGAAGGAAAGAAGGATGGGGAGAAGACCAGGGTGTCAATGGGCAGCAGGCGGTTACGACTGAGCCCAGGTCGCAGAACACTGCCATCAGAGGCGGCGCTGGGCCGGAATCCACAGTACTGTATTCCCCACACCAGGCTGCCTCGTCAGCTACAGGGCAGCTTGGGGAGGGCAGTCCTCCCTCAAGGTTGCCTGGACCCTGCCCAGAGGCCCGGAGGCCTTCCTGGCCCCACAGCCCTTCCCTGCATCCCTATCCCCAGCAGCAGCCTCCTTCTCCCCACAGCACACACACACACTCACAGACACACTCTGAAAACTTCCCCAGAAAGATCAGGGCTGGGAGCCCCCAGGCAGAAGAAACCCCCTTACGGCCACCATCCTTCCCAATCCCCTGCCAGGCAGGGTCCAGCAACCCCCGGTGGTCCCCTGCTCTCTACTCACCCCTCTGAGGACAGCCTGTACAGTCTGTTAGCCTGTCTCCACGGTAACAGCTTTCTAAAGTTGAGGGCAGGTCCTGGGAGAGGAGGCTTCTGGGAAATGTAGTCTTCTGTCCCTACCCAGGGCTGGGCCCAGACGACCCGCTGCTGCAGGGCCCTTGACCAGCGGCGGGCTGGAGCCAGCTTGTGCCAGTTTGCAACAGCTGACCGTTAAAATTTCGGGAATATTTGTGAGCCAGTTGACAAACACAGCCATTATTACAAATTTCAGTTATAAAAACTTATAAGTAAATGCGTTATATTAAAAACAAAGATTTCTAAAATACCCAAAATAAATACCCAAAACTCATCACTTCCTAATTATTTTACTACATTTTACTATTATCTATGCTCTTGAGGTTATTTATGCTTATCGCATCCACACAATGAAAATATTACATAATGGTGAGCTATGCTGCGTCTTCTCCCAACTTCCGTTCAGTGACGTCACATTGATAGTTTGAAATCGGCCATAGGATTACTTACACCACGGAAATTGGCAAATGCTACAGACCAGGGCCTTTTCCTCCCAGTGAGCCCCAGGTGTTAAACATTTACCAGAACACCACTGTGTCTGCCCCACTCATGATCAATGTGGCCTTCATCAGGATGGATGGAAACCAGTGTGGGTCCTGGCACGGCTGCCTGCCATGGTGGACAGAGCCAGGCAGCCTGAGTCCTGGGTTCAAGTTTAGGCTGGGCCTCCAATTTGGTAGATAACTTGCAGGACGGGGAAAATGTATCCATTGGGTTAGTGGCCCATGAGAAATGTTTAGTTTTAGGTTCTTTTTAATTCAGAAGAAAATATGAATAGACTAATAATGATTGTAAAATTATGAGTCTACCCTGGATTATATTCATCTTTGTCCCAGTGTAGCCATAAAATATATTTTTACTGTTTTTTTTTGGAGGAAGGGGTGGGCCCACGAAAGTGGTAATGCAGCCCTGTGGGGGGCGGGGAGCTCAGAGAAACACTGCAGGTATCCCGACAAGGTTATAGAGTTGCTGTTACTGGTGAAAATGTAGGAATCACCTCAATTCTCAATGACAAACAATGATTTTAAATTCTCTTTGGAATACTATGCAGTCATGAAAAATAAAGTGTGCCAGATGAATTAGACGGAGGGAAATCTCATGAGATGGCATGTGCACATCGGTCCTGTGCGCACTCTAGGATTACCTCCATGGGGAATTTGCCTGTGGTGAGGGAAGGAAGAGATGAGGAAAAAGAAAACAGGTGATGTGTTAGGCTGGTCAGATGGAACGTAGGCTTCATTTTCCTTTTTCCCCATGCAACATCTCATTTGTTTTGTACGTTTATTTATTCCGTTTTATCCCTATACCCACTCCCATTCCCTGCTCCCTATAGGTAACCATTCTGATATGTATTTTATTTCCCCAAATGAGCACTGTTTGCATGCTGCTGTTTTTAATTTGTGTAAACGATATTGTGTTAATATCTCCTTCTGTTTCTTATATTTGCACTAAGAGCTGTGGTTTTAAGATCCAACCATGTTGCTGTGTGTCCACGGTGTGGATCCACGCTAACTATCCTCTCTACTCTCCCAGTGATGGACACCCCACTTTGCCACCAACTCCTTTCCACTACAGATAATGCCACACATGTCATCGGGCGAGTCCCTTCTAGACCTGTAAGAGTGTTCCTTGGGGATAAGTAACCAGGAGCACCACCCCATTTTTCTTCAGGCAGCGAAACTTACACTCTCACCACCTTCCGCCATGCGCGAGGGGGCCTAAGACCCTCGCCCCTGCCAGCAGCTGATATTATCTGGCTTCCTCATGTTTGCCCGTGTGATGGATCCATGTTAAACATGCATCCCTCTGATTACCAATGATTTCAATGTGTCTTCTTATGCTAATGTGTTCTTTTTAGGTGTTTCCTCCTCTGAAACTGTCCTTTGAAACCTCAGCCTATTTTTCTTTACTGGGGACGTGTCCTTGTTTTGATCTGCAGAACTTCCAGTTGTTAATTCCTGGTTTCAGATGTGGCAAATACCTTCCCCCATTCTGTCTCATGTCTGCTGATGTTGCCTGTGGTGTCCTTCATTAAACAGAAAACTTTAATTTTAGTGTAATTAAATTTATCAAGTTTTTGTTTGTTTGTTTTGTTTTGTTTCGTTTCTGCTGAGGAAGATTGGCCCTGAGCTAACATCTGTGCCCATCATCCTCCATTTTGTATATGGGACGCTGCTACAGCATGGCTTGATGAGCAGTGCGTCAGTCTGCACCCAGGATTCAAACCTGCGAACCTCAGGCCACCGAAGCAGAGCACACGAACTTAACCACTATGCCACTGGGCTGGCCCCAAATTTATCAAGTTTTGGTCTGATGTTTTGTGCTTATGAATTTTCGTTTGAAAAGTCCTTCTTTGCCCTTAGGTTGCAAATATATTTTCCTACATTAACTTTATAGTTTTGCCATCCCATTTAGAATCTTTACTCTGCCTGGAGACCATCTCTGTAGGAGGAGTTAGGTAGGGATCCTGTTTTATTTTTATCCATATAATAGCCAATTTTCCAACACCATCATCAGACCATCCATCCCTTCTTGGTGATGCCACTCTTGTTGTGTATTAAGTCCCCCAGGTGTATATAAGTCTGCCTCTGAGCCCTCTGTACTGTTCCACTGGTCTTCATGCCTATCCCTGCACATATCCCATGTTGAATTTACCACTATGGCCTTGTAATATCTTTATATCTTTATATCCATGCCCTCTTTCATTAAGGTTGACTTAGCTATTTGATGCCCATATGCCTTCATATAAATTTTACAATACGTTTTTAGAAAGCCTAAAAAATGTCATTTGGAATTTTTATTGGAATTGCATTGTATTTATAGATTAATTTGTGAAGAATTTTTATCTTTTCATATTAAGTTATCTTTCTGGGAGCACAGAGCAAGTCAGTCTTCTTATTTCCTGTATATTTATTATATTGTAATGAAAAATACCAGGAATGAAGAAATTGGGGCAGACCAGAGAAAACCAGGCACGGAGGTACAGTGGGGGCCCTCCCTACAGCACACAGAGGACCCCTGCGGCCCAGGGCTGAGAAGGTGACGGCCACGGCAGAGCTCTGGCTTGGTCCCATTCACGCGGGGCGGGGCGGGCCGGGCACTGGGCAGCCCTCTCCGCCAGCATCTCGTTTAATCCCTCATCAGCCGTCGGGGCAGCGCCTGCGACCCCTGCCTTACAGGCTCAGGAGGTGAGGAACTGGTCCACAGCAAGTCGCTGAGGCAGAATTGGGACCAGGCGGGCTGACCTCAGAGTGTGTGCTCTGAACAACGGGCCGGCCGCCTCCTTGGTTGCTATTGTTACCGTTCGATGACAGGGGAACCCTGCCTATCCGTGCTGGGCCTTGGGGCGCATTCTCGCCATAGCCCCTCTTGGTCTTAGAACATGCTCAGGTTGGCACTTGGAGCTGCTTTTGCAGTGACCCCAGGCAGTGAGGGACCCCAGCCCCTCAGCCCCCGCCTGGCCCTGGAGTTGAGAGCCAGCCGGAGAGGGAGCGCAGCCCCGCCGTCAGCTCCACTCCCATCTGCCCTGTCCATCCGCGTCAGGAAACCCCGCCCATCCGGGGCTTGTGGGTTTTTGGACCCACATCCCACTGAGCACATCTGGAAAAGCTACAGACCAGGGTTTCCCTTGGGACTCGGGGGTGGAGGATGAGCTGATGATTCTTGAACCCAGGGAAGGCTCTGGGAGGAGGCCCCAGCCTTAGCTTCAGCCCAGCTTGCACAGCGGCCTTGGGCAGGTCGCTGGGCCTCTCTGGGCCTCCATCTCCTCATCCCCACGCGGGGCTGGTCCACTTGGCAGAGCTGTAGAAGGACTCTGGAAGGAGCTTTACCCTGTATGCCTCTCCTGTTTTACATGCAGGCTGCAGAGGGTCATGATTCGCTTTACACAAGGGTTCCACCTGGTTTTTCCTTAAGCTAAAGGGGTCTCGGGGGGCCAACTAACTTCTGCTGAGTCCTTGCCAGGCGCTTTACTTTTGTCACCTCACTTAATGCTCTCAGGACAAAGCGAGGACTTTATGATCTCCATTTTACCGAGGGAGAAACTGAGGCTCAGAGAGGTGAGGTGACACTCCCAGGGTCACACAGCCCCTGAGTAGCAGAGCCAGGATTTGAACCCAGGCCTGTCAGACACTAGAGCTGTTGTTCTTTCCAAGCACAGGTTCGTAACTCTGAGACTCTGGGGGAAGGGAGCCAAGACCTTTAGTGTGAGGAACACATGTCTGTGAAGATAAGCCCAAAACCCACCAAACGTGTCCACAAACACTGATAGTGTGGCTCAACTGATGCAGTGTCCACACCCCAGAATTTCCCCTCCAGGAATGCAGCGACTCGTGTAAAACAAGGGCCCCTGCCTTCTTGTCTTTCATGTTTGCTGGGTGGGAGGAGGGAGAAAGGGATCCATTGCAGTCTGATCAGCATCTGGCATCTGGGAGGGGAGGCGGGCTGGCAGCCCAGGGGCTGTGGGGGGCGTCTAATAATCACTTCTCACCTGTAGAGAGTGCCTGACCGGCCACAAAGCCCACTGGAGAGGGTGGGGGCTGGGTAGGGATGGTGAGACTTCCAGGTGGTTAGTAAGTCAAGGCTAGAGGAGGGTATGAACACGCGGGGTGGGACTCCAGGGAGGGGGGCTCCAGGGAGGGTGGACACCAATGTTCTCCCCTCCCTGCTGTCTTTCTGCATCTGCTTATCTGTTAATTCTCTCTCTCTCCATCTCTCTATCTCTATCTCTATTATCTCTGCCTCTTTTCGTTTCTTACCAAGGAAACCAGCTCATGGTTGTAAAATGGAGGCCCAGCCACTGGAAGCAACATACCCAAGCTGGGTCTGGCCTGAGACACTCCCCTGGCTCAGGGCCCCACTCACACACCCATCCATTCAGCCAACACATATTTATTCAGGGCCTGAAACTCGCCAGGCTCAGGGTGGGCTGACCCCTTGAGTGAGGACGGCTAAGTGCCTGCTCTGTAGGAGCTCAGATTCCGGGGGAAACGCCCACCTTCTCTCAGCTCAGCCCAGCCCTCTGCCCTGCCCTGGCCCCTCTGCCCTCTGGGGTGCAGAGCCCTGGACCATGTGCCCTCTACCCCACAGTGACAGCAGATCAGAGGTTGGGCCACCCACTTGGCAGTCAGAGTGGGGACTGGGGGGCTTGCTTGAAGTATCACACCCACTGGGTAAGGGCCATTCTCTGAAATTCAGTGTCCCCAGACACCTGGAGGGTGGCAGCCCCTGAATGGTGGGGGATCATCTGTGAAGATAGACCTTGGTGGGACTGGCCGAGACCAGGGGCAAGCTGGCCGGGAGGACCAATCCCCCTCAAAACAAACCTCCAGTCCACAGAAGCCCCAGTGCCTGAGGGGACGACTGCCCCCCGGATGTCCCTCACCTACAGGCAGCCAGTCGGCGGAGATGTGGGAGGGCAGTGATGAGAGGGAGGAAGGCAGGAGGCTGGGGGCTCCTTCAAGGGGCTGTGCCAACAACAGACTCCCCTCCTTGGGCTCAGGCCCTTACTGAGACCAGAAGGTGGGCGATGGCAGAGACAGGCTGCTTTGCTCTGAAGGCAGCGGGGTGGGGTATGGGGGTGGGGGTGACGGTGATGCTCTGTGCTGGCAGCGGTCTCAGGACTGTAGGACCTTTAGACTCCTGCGATCCTGGATTTGTGGACGCTAGGACACATAGATGTGTCTGGATGGGACCTTTGAAGCCACATGGTCCAACCTGGTCCCCACCCCCTCTCGCTGCAGCCACATTGTACAGAGAAGGGCACTGAGGCCCAGAGGGAGGCAGCGAGCTGCTCGAGGTCACACAGCGAGTCAGAGCTGAGTCCCGATTGCAGGGCCCACCCTGGCCCGGCCACACTGCGGCCCCTATTCTTGAGACATGGTGTGGGCCTGGTCAGGTCGGGCGGTACCAGAGGAGGAGGACACGGCGCTCTGCTTCGGGAAGTAGAGGACGATGAACCAGCAGAAGATGAAGATGCCTGTCAGGGAGGAGAGGGCATCGTGAGCCTGGGGTGTGGCCGACAGGGAGCTGGGCAGCCTGGCTGGCGTCCCCCCGGAGGAGAAATAGCTCCCTTGTAAAAGTTCCAAAACTTATGGAAAAATCAGTCAAAAATGAAAACTACTCCTAAGAAAGATCCATATAGAAATCTTGGAAATGAAAAATGGTGTCCTTGAAATAACATATATACATGCACCCATCACAGAAAAGAAAGAGCAAAAGATAGGAATTTTCAGACATACAAAAGAACCACCACCACAGTGGGTTTCTCCCACTGCCCCTCTATAAAGGATTACTACAGGATGCACTTCAGCAAGAATAAGGGGGAAGGTGTGAGGTATAAAAAGTACAGTAAGTACAGAAATCTATAGCAAAATAAAAACTTGTGTGTGTGTTTAAAAGAAACTTACAACTAAAACTCTGAACAACAATAGAAACATTGAGAAGAGTTCAAGGGCAGTTAAAGTATGCTGAGGGCCCTGTTGTGTTTGGGAGGAAGATAGAAGGACTGAATAATTCCCACTCGGTTGAAACAACTCGGGAGAGTGAAGTGTTCAGGCTTAAATATTAAGGGTAACGTCTGAAAGAATAACGATATAATCTACAGTTTCAAGGTGCATCTCTCCCCAACTCTTAACATCTGGGGTTTTCCAGATGTGGACTCATGATTCTTCATCTGGGGACCATCTCAGAGGGCCTAATAATAATGACTTCTGTGATTAACCTAGTTCCCACATATTGAAGGCCTACTGTGTCCCCACACGTATTATCTCAGTTATTCATCATGAAATCTGATGAGAAAGTGCTGGAATTATCCCCACTTTTCAGGTGACTGGATCAGAGGCGCAGAGTGACTTGCTGGGTGGTGAGGGGAACCAGGATGTGGACTCGGGTCTGCCTGTCCCCAACCATGATGCCACACAGTCTCACAAGGCACTGGGAGGCAGCCCCGTCTCTGTGGGCTCCCCCCATTGGGTCCGGGACACCTGGGTTCCTAGCGCCTCCTCTGGACGGGATCAGACTGAGTCAAGGCGCACACTGTCCTTCCCTTCTCAGCTGTCAGGCTGCGATGCTTCTCTACGCTGTGTGTATGAGGCGGGGGTGCGAGGAGCAAAGAGGATAGGTGCAGGCAGGGGACCCGTGACCACACCCCGGGCGCCTGCCCCTTGGCTGGGGTATAAGAGGAAGGGTCCTGGGAGCAGGGAGCAAACGAAGCAATATTTCCTCCACTAATCATTTCCTTCCTGCCTCCACAGCTCCTGAGAGACTCTGTCCACGTCATGTGGCCACCACATCACATGACCCTGCCCTCCTGGTCACAGCTGATTGGACCAGAGATGGACACCTGACCCAAGATGGCCCGATCAGGTCCTTGACTCTCCTCAGACCATGGAAGAGACAATCTGACCGTGGTCATTAGACTCAGAAAGTCACTCAGGGTTGAGGTGGCTGTATTGGGCAGCCATCTGGGGGCCGTGGGTAGGAGTGGGCCAGCAGAGAGAAGAATGAAGGAGTTTCCCGAGAGAAGGTGAGAGACTGCATGCGGCTCCAGAGAATAAGATGGAGAAAGTCTCTGCTTTGGTTTCTGTGGGTTTTCCTGACCCTGGTGCCAGCTCACATGAGATCAGCCAGCCTTCCTGCCCTGGGGCCTTTGGCACAGCCCTGGGTATTTAAAATCAGTACCTTGATTTGAGTTAGCCTGCGTGGCATCCAGTTTCTTGCCATCCACCCCCCAACACGCCCCCCCCCCCCAGCCCAATGCAGACGGGGCAGCCGTCACCTCCCTGGCCCAGGAGCCTCACCTTGCAGGGAGTTGAACAGTGCGAAGACATAGATGGTGGACACGCCCAGGGGCGTAAGGATGGCCAGCCCCCATGTCACGCCCACCAGGCTCGAAAGGCCCAGCAAGGTGAGGACCGCCTTCCAGTTCGGCCCCTGTTTCTTGCCCGCCGTGGCACTCGGCAGAGTGAAGATCTTCCAGGCCACCAGGCCCAGGACCACCGCGCTGCAGAGGAAGGTGACGAGGAAGTAGCCATGGACGGTGATGTAGAGGGGGATGGCAGCGTTCTCGCGGAACCAGCACCTGGAGGGGGCGGATGGCCGCTGGGACTGGGACAGCACCCCTGAGCAGCCAGCCCCGGCCGTCTCCCCTAACTGACCTTCCATGACCAAGAAGATGCCTTCTCCCACCTCTGCCCACTGTCCCCTGCTCTCCTGGGGAAGGGGTCCCAAGGCTCCAGGCTGCTGTCTCTTTAGACCAGTGAGTACAAAAGAGTCAGGTGGCCCCAAAGACGTGTTTTGTTTGCCCCACGTGATATTGTAAAAAAATTGCATTAAGTGATTATCCTTTAAAAAACAGAAAGTTTGGCATAAACATCCAGATTTCTGCTTCTCGTAAGACCATACACCTGGCAGGCCTGTGGATGCCCTCCTGAGGGACCGTAATCAGCTGCCCTTGAGATGGGCATGTGACCGCCAGTCTACTGCAGACCTCCCGCCCCCGGGCTGCCACGTGTGCTTATATTATCTATCTGGCCCCTTTGGCTCCTGTATTTGAGGCCCTGGGGACAGGACCAAGGGTACACCAGCCCCTCGTAGCACAGAGCCGTGGGCCCGGGGCGGACGCCCTGGGAGAGGCCCGGCTCAGCCCCACAGCTCCCTGCACTGCAGGGGCAAAAGGCTGGGAAGAGCGTGTCCATCAACCTCCCATTGTACAGATGAGGAGACTGAGGCCCTGGGAGGGGACGGGCTCACCCAAGGTCACACAGCAGCTCAGAGGCAGAGCCTAGATAGAACCAGGCTGCTGCAAATATTGGGCAGGTTGTGCTCTGCACAAGGGCACCTGGCTGAGGGGGCAGGTGGAGGCTGAAATCCAGCTCACCCTCCACCCACCAGGCTGAGCACCCGGCATGGCAGGTGGAGGGGGATGGGGGTTCCTTTTTAAATTTGCCCAAAGGTGCCATGTAGGCTGGTGGTGGCCCAGGCTAGAGCAGGGCATCCTGCCTCCTGGACCAGTTCTCCCTCCGCCTTCTCAGGCCCCCTGTCTCATTGCACTGCCTCTCTCCAGGCCTCAGTTTACCCCTGCAGGCCATGAGCCAGCTGGATCTGAGGATCCTTTGCCTTGACTCACTCGGCCTCTCTTCCCAGATTCCCTCCTCTCCCTACCTCCCCCTGGCCTGATAGGTGCATCCAGGGACCTGATGTCACCCTCGCTCCCCACCCGCCACTCACAGCTCCAGTGTGGTTCTGTTCTCCTCGTCACGGATGCTGTAGCGGCCGTAGCTGTTGGCACTCCCGGTGCCGATGACCACTAGGGCAGGCAGGCCTGGGTGCGAGGGGGGCAGTATGGCATTGCTGGGCTCCCTTGTGTGTCCCCCTGCAAACCCCCCTCCAGCTGCCATCCCTCAAGCCCCGAGTATATCTGAGAGAGGCAGCCACCTCCCTGCCCTAGGCCGTTCCCCTCCCCGCTCCTCCCAGGGCTGGCCTTCCCCTCTGCCCACCAGGCAGCACCTACCCCAGCCCACGAGGCTCAGCTTCAGGAAGTAGCGCCCGAAGTAGGTGTTGAAGACCCTGACGATGAGCAGATAGAGGTGGAAGGCTTCCAGGCCCATCCAGGTGAAGGCGCAGAGCAGGAAGTAGTGGAAGACGGCCCCCCGGGCCCAGCAGGCGGAATCGGACCCCTCCACGCCATGCCCCACGTTGGTGAAGAAGACGAGATTCAGGAGGAACAAGCTAACGCTCAGGGCCACGTGGATCTTGGGCGGGTCTTCTGACTTGAGCCTCTGCCAGGAGAACCTGGGGCCAGAAGTGCTGGTGAGAGACTGCAAGGGGCTGCAGCTGCCACGGGCGCCCAGGCCTCTCCATCCCACCTCCTCTGCTCCACCCCTGCCGGCGGCCAGGGCGTGAGCGCCCTCAGGTTCAAGTCCAGGAGCCCTCTTGTGGCCCACAGGGCCCCGTGGGTTCCAGATCCTGCCGGCCTCATCCTTCGACTCAGTGCTTTAGCCAAACTGCATAACTTGCAATTTCCCGAATGCATTCTGCTTTTCCACGTCTCCCGGGTTTTGCCCATGCTCCTCCCTCTGCTCTCAATGCCTTTCCCTCCTCTGCCTTCAAAATTCCCCGGGGGTATTTCCTTCTGGGAAGGCTGTCTCTGAATGCCCCTTATCCCAGGCTGACTTGGGTTTCCCAGCAGCGCAGTGGAACTGTGTCCCCTCCCCTTGTCTGCCCCTCCCCACGCTGTGACCTCGGGCCTGGCACAGTAGGAAGGAGGAGGCCCTGGGTGCATTGTTGAGTGAGTGGACAGACATGATGCATGAGCCATAGGGGATAGGAGGGAGAGTAAGGCTCAGAGAGGGACAGGGACTCTCGCAGAGTCACGCAGCAGAGCACGGGCTCCAGTCTCCCAGCCCAGTGCTTCTTCCCAGGGCTCATCTCCCTCTCTGTGGAGCTCCCATTCTGAATTCTTAGCAAATTTGATCGCAAATGACTCTCACCTGAGGGATGGGAGCCCAGGGCTGCCTGGAGGGGGCATGAGGGATAATGTCCACCTCACCTGAGACGCCAGGCCCCACCCTTGGGAGCTGATGACAGTGCCTCCTGGCGCTCCAGGCCCGGCTCACGGGGTCTAGCAATGCAGCCAGCTGGCAAGTCTCGCTCAGCGTGTTGGGGGTGGGGGCAGTGTCCCAGGCCAGGGCTTGGGGGATGGGGGCAGGGGTGTCACCACTTACACTCACGATTCAGTCTGAGATGGAGCAGGTGAGGCCCGTGGGGGCTGCAGCCCAGGGCCAGACGGTGACAGAGGCAAAGAGGCATGTGCAGCAGGGCAGTGGGAGGGCCCCGGACTGGGAGTCAGGAGCCCCAGGGGCTGCTCCAGGCCCGTCACCGGTCAGGAGGCTGGAGACGGGGCAGGCGGGGGCGGGGGGCTGCTCCCACAGGCTCCTTCAAGCTGGCAGCTCCTGTGGGTCCCTCAGCCACGGCCTGGGCCTGGGAGAGCCTGGATGCAGGCCGCAGCAGACTCCGCTGTTTCTGCCTGTCCTCCACCCGCTCCTCCTTTTTCCAGAACTAGCCCCAGGTTTCCCTTCCCATCTCTCAGCCGTGGAGTGTCAGTGGGGTCGGCCTTTTGTTGGCTCAAACCCCAGAGCAACCACATGGCTTGGGCTGGCCAATCAGTAACCCATCCCTTGACCACATGACCTGCTCAGTCATGGGCACAGGGGACGAGTTAGACCAATGACACTCAACTCTGGTATACACAGGATGAAATTGCATAGAACACTCACACAAATGAATGCATGTAAAAAATAGTGCCAACTGAATGAGGTCTGTATTCCAGTTCATAGCACTGTACCCATGTCAGTTTCCTGGTTTAATATTGTACTACAGTTATATAAAGTGTCGTCATTGGGGAAAGCTGGATGAAGAGACTATGGGACTCTACGTACTATGCTTGCAACTTTCTGTTAGTCTATAATTATTTCAAAATAAAAATCTGTTTTTTTTTTTAAAGACCTCAATTCTGGGACTTAGTTTAGAATATTGGCTATCAAGGCAGGTAAAATCTGCAATGCAAGCCTGGGGCCCCCCAAAGCCCCTGAGTGTGGAGTTGCTGCCTGACGTGACTGACAGAGGAGGAAGCAAAGTTGTGAGAAGCAGAGGGGCTGAAGTCCTGAGGACACGGTCCTGGATCCAACCATGCCTGAATGAAGGCACCTTGGGTTTTTCAATTACTTAAACCATGTGTTCCCTCTTATATTTGAGGCAGTTGAGTTGAGTTGCTGCCACTTGCAAATGAAATAGTTCGGACATATTTCAACCTCCAAGCCCATTTTGTAAATGAGGAAACTGGGGTTTGGAGAAGATGTCAGCATAGGGCTGCACAACCAGGGTGCTTTCTACTCTGCACTGCTGCCGCCCCTGAGGGCAGGAGGGAGTGGGGATAGGGTCACCCACCTCAGGGCAGCGTAGAGGACAATGGTGAGGGCCAGGAAGAACATGGAGGCTCCACAGCCAGCCTGGGAAATGCGTATGAGGGCCTGCACGGTGGCCTTGTCCAAGATCGGCCTCTGTGGGGGACCCCCCCAAACCGGGACCCCATCATTTGGAGGCCAGGCCCACACACCCCAAAGGCCCTGGCCCCTGCCAGGCAGCCTCCTCCCTGGGGCTGGAGCCTGGGCAGAACTGCCGGGATCAGGGTGGGTGGGCCATTACCAGCAGCAGGGCGAAGAAGGTCAGGTGGTCACAGCGGCACACAGTCTCCTTGGCTCTGTGCTCCGTGGAGCAGCCCTTGGAAGACCAGTCTCCTGCTAAGCCTGGAGAGGAGATGGGAACACAGAGGACTGTATGGGAGTGTAGGGGGGTGGACGGTAGGGGAGGGACAGGGGTGGGGGGAGAGGGGACCCGAGAGGAGCCAAGAGAGGGGAGGGGCCTGCAGCGAAGCCCTGTCCCCTAAGGGGACCCATATCCTCCCCACCTATCTCACCTGGACCTACCTTTATTGACATCCCAGAACACACAGCTGAGGGTCAGGTTCTGAAACCAAAGAGGGTGAGTCAGGGGAGGGGCAGGGGGAGGTGGGGAGCGGGGAGAGGAGAGCGTGGGGAGGGGAGGGGGAGAGAACAGCATGCTCCCGCGCCTTAACATGTGTGCATTAGGTGGAAAGCAAGGCTCACCCCGTGGGTCACATGGGAACATTAATGGCACCATTTGATGGACCCTGGGTCAGCGTGTGAGTGGTGTGGACACGGCGTGGGGCTGTGAGTGGAGGGTTACGTGTCTGCGGGCGGGTGTGTAATGTTGTGTATGTGCAGATGGGTTTGCCAAGTCCTACATGCCCCTCTGTGAGTGGGCGGGAGTCTGGAGGGCACGTGGACACATGTGCAGAGTGGGCCTGTGTCGCTGGGCACGTTGTATGTATGGCGGCTTCCCCTGGGTGGATGTGGTGGGGGCGCAGAGTCCCAAGGATGTCTGCCTGTACGCCCGTGGGCGCCCCCCTGCCTGTCTGCCCCTCGGTGATGGCCAGGCTGCGGGGGGAGCTCACGGGAGGCTGACGCTGGTGGGAGAAGGTGATCTCCAAGGGCTCGGCCAGCCCTGTCACAGGCGTACGGCCCAAACTCAGGCCCACCAGGCGATTGTTCAACACGCTGCTGCCGTCCTCCAGGCTGAGCCGGGGCCCCTGGGAGGGAAACAGGGCAAGGCCAGGCTGAAGAAGGGGCTGTCACAACCCAACCCTGAAGGGGGGTCCTGGGAGTCTCCAGGAGAGACTGGAGGGCAAAGTCTGAGCCCAGGGGACCAGGGGGCCAACGGGTCATGGGTGACGTTTCTGCTGCTCCTTGTTGTCTCCTACTCGGGCTGGGCCAGGGCGGCCCTACACTCCAGGCCAGCTGGTCGTAAAGCCGTGCACCTGCGCGCTGTCCACTGCTGTCCTCCGGAGTTCCTCTGCCCTCTTAACCAGAGGGGCGCAGGGCCAGGACAAAGATCAGCCCGGAAGTGGAGGACAGTGGGTGCCCACATGTGGGGGAGCACCTGTCCACACCAGCCCTTGGGGGTACACAAGTCTGCGTGTGAGTGGGGACACACACCTGGCACACATTTGCAAGGGCATGAGTACGCTTGCTTGTGTGGACATGGTCACACCAGAGCACACATGATTATGTGTGCACCAGGAATATGAAAGGATACGTGTGTTTGTGCCTGCACAAGGACACACAGGGACGTGAACACACTCGGGTTACACATACAAGTCCACAACTGAGTGTGTGTGGGCAGTGTGAGTCCGCAGTCCACAGACTTAGAGACAGGGGTCTGGGAGGACCACAAGCTGCTTCAGAAACACTCTCCAGAGGCTCATCACCTCCCCCACCCCCATCGGGGCCCTCAGCGAAGACTCCAGAGGGCCAGCATTGCCTGTGAACCTTGGGCCTCCCGGAGCCCCCATCAGGCCTCTCCTCACCTTGAAGAGATTCCCCGAACCGATGTCCAGGATGGTTATGGCCAAGCGGGCCGTTGGCCTGCTGCCCTGTAGGGATGCGAAAAGGCTCCTGGGCAGCCGGACTCTGTCAGGGCACTCGTGCTCGTGCTGGGCCCCTGTCACCTGCCTCGGAATCTGCAACCAGAGACCCGGCCGCTCCGTCTTTACCCAAGGATTCCAGCCCCAGCACAGGTCCTGCCACTTCGCCCGGTTGGGAGGGGAAACTGAGGCACACTGGGTGGAGGGGCAGCACCTGAGGACATTGGCTCTGAGAGGCAGGACACCTGGAGGCACAGTCAAGCTCTGCCCTGTCCAGGCCGAGAGCCCCTGGACAAGTCACGGCAATCATGGAACCTCAGTTTTCCCAATACGGAGAAAGGAGCTAATGAGCTGCCTGCATGGCCACCTGAGCGGCTGAAAGGGGGCTGTGAAGAGACGACACCCAGACAAGCTCGGTTTGCAAGTGTGAGGGGGAGTGGGCTGGGGAGCGCTTTTTGGCCAGGGTCCTTACAGCCCCTGTGCTCACAGGGGGCTTCATGATGGTGGTGTCTGGCTTCTGACTTGGGAAGAAATGGGAGGAATAAGACCGTCGGGAAGGGAGACAGCGAGGGCAGAGATGGAGGATACAAGAGTTTACACTGACTGTGATATCCACTCACGCCCAACAAACACAAACTTTGTAAAAGCTAAGAGTGATCAAAATATTAAAGTAAATTTCACTGGTAATTGCAAAGTGTTTTGTTCATTCTCTGACCTCGCTGTTCCCCTGGGGCTGCAGCCTGATCCCACCTGGTCCTGCCTCAAAAGCGTCCCCTGGTCAATGGAACAGAGGGAGCTAAGTGTTGTAGCTGAGGGCCCCAACTTTCTCCTTCCCAGTCCAGACCCTTGTCAAAAGGACATGTGGGTGACTTCTGGGGTCACTGCATACCCCACGCAGAGGGCTCAGCTCTTGGGTGACATAGTAAAGGGTTGAGAAGGGCCCTATCCATCTTTCATCTCCTCTTCTCCAGGCAGACCTAGAAGTATCTCCAAGATAGCCAACTTGCCTGCTGCCTGAACTTCCACCCTAGGCTTCATTCCCTACAAGGCACTGCGCCCTCACTGTACCAAGCATTCCCTGTACATTATCTCATTTGCTCCCTGCCCCCCCCCATAACCTTGAAAGTGGGCAACGCCATCACCATTTTACAGATGTGAACACTGAGGCTCAGAAAAGTTAAGCAATTTGCCCAAGATCACAATGGCTGGTAAGGGACAGAGATGGGATTTGAAGGCAGACCAGCGCAAATCCAGTCCGCCCGTTCAGTCCTTGGCAGTACGGCAAAGTGTGCCTTTACCTGGTTTCCATGAGTCCCCAGGGTAGAAGAGCTCATGGGAACTTCAGACTTTGGGGAGCCTTAGACCTCATTTTACAGATGAGGGCTCCAGGCCCAGAGAGGGGAGGGGACTTCCTGGAGGACACCCAGTGAGGAGGTGGGAAGTCCGGGACCAGAACTCAGTCTCCTGACTCTCAACTCAGTGATCTTCCGACTGTCTTGTCCTACCCCCCAGGATAATCTGTTAACGGATCCATTCATCTGCTTAACTCACTAGTTCCCATTAGCAAGGAGGCAGGGCACTGAAGGGACAAGTTTTGATGGGCACCAAGCACAGACTAGGACTCTCTCCGAATTCTGAAAAATAAGACTGATGAAAACAGGGGCAGGACCAGCCAGCAGGAATGGGGAGCCTCTTCACCTGAGAGGGGCTCAGAGAGAAGTGCAGGTCTTCTGAGATGTTGGTGCTGAAGTTCTTGACAAAAGACTTCAAAAAAGTCAAGTTCACTGTCTCCATCTGACTCTTCTCCACCAGATGGACCTCGTAGTTCAGCCAGTACCTGCAAGGGGCCAGGATTGGGGGAAGCAGAGGTTTGCAGGCTGAGTTACCCACTCGCCTGGCCTCAACTACAGAAGGAGAGACGCCATGGGCAGCGGTCATCCAGCCCTTTGCCCAGAATGTCAATAGAAAGACCCTGGGGTCACTGAGGAGAAGAGGGGTGGCATGGGGGCCCTCCGAGCTGGTTTTGAGGGATTCCAGCTAGCAGTTCCTCTGAGTATTTCCTGTGTTTGTCTTTTTTGTGTTAAAATCTATACAACATAAAATTTACCATTTTAACCATTTTAAATCATACAGTTCAATTCATTAAATACATTTACAATGTTGTGCGACCATCATCCCTATCTAGTTCCAGAACATTTTCATCACCCCAAAGGAAACCCTGTACCCGTTAAGCAGTCACTCCCTTCCCTCTTCCCTCAGCCCCTGGCAACCACCAATCTTCTTTTTGTCTCTATGAGTTTTCTTATTCTGGATATTTCATATAAATGGAATTATATGATACCTGGTCTTTTGTGCCTGGCTTCTTTCATTAAGCATAATGTTCTCAAGGCTCATCTATGTTGTAGCGTGTATAAGTATTTCTTTCTTTTTTTTTTTTAAAGATTTTATTTATTTATGTTTTCCCCCCAAAGCCCCAGTAGATAGTTGTATGTCATAGTTGCACATCCTTCTAGTTGCTGTATGTGGGACGCAGCCTTAGCATGGCCGGAGAAACAGTGCGTTGGTGCACGCCCGGGATCCGAACCCGGGCCGCCAGGAGCGGAGCGCACGCACTTAACCGCTAAGCCACGGGGCCGGCCCTAAGTATTTCATTCCTTTTTATGGATGAATAATATTCCATTGTATGGATATACCACATTTGTTTATCCGTTCATCCATTGATGGACATTTGGGTTGTTTCCATTTTTGGCTATTGTGACTATGGCTGCTATGAACATTCACATACAAGCTTTTGTTTGAAGACTTGTTTTTAATTCTTTTGGGTTTATACTTGGGAGTGGACTTGCTGGGTCGTACGGTAATTCTATATTTAATTTCTTGAGAAACTATCAAACTGTCTTCCACAGCAGCTGCACCATTTTACATTTCCACTAGCAATGTATGTTCTAATTTCTCCATATCCTTGCCAACACTTGCTATTTTTCATTTTGTTTTTAATTGTAGCGCTACTAGTAGGTGTGAAGTGGTATCTCATTGTTGTTTTAATTTGCATTTCCCTAATGAGTAATTATGTTGAGCATCTTTTCATGTGCTTGTTGGTCTTTGCATATCTTCTTGGGAGAAATTCCTCTGAGTATTTTAAACCGTGGGATGATAATTATGTGGTGTGTGTGAGCGCTCAGCATGTTTGTTGAGTGCTAACTGCATACTGGGAATTCAGCCTTTGGAGACTGAGCTGTGCAGGAACCGACTTATGGGAACTGAGCTGGTGTTGGAACCACACAGAACATAAAATTTAATTGACGTTTATTTTACTGCAACCCCCTAGCATCAGCTAAAATGTCAGGGCAAGGCAAGCCCATGGTGCTCTCCGTGGTACTGAAACTTCACCACGCTTTTCCTAAGCCTGGGGTCCTAAGACCCGGCTTCCCAGGTGAGAGCTGAGGTAGCAATGGGAGAGAAAGGGGAACAAAAGCAGATACGGCCAGATCAAGGCTGTTGGAAAGGAGTAGCTAGGGAGGTCTTGCCAGGGAGAAAAAAGGAGGCTTTTATTTTGACATCATTTTCGAACAGTGGCAATTACCAAGGGAAAAAAACCCCAAAGAAACTACAGAAAAAATATCACACGATATAAAGAGTAAGCCATGCAAATATGTGTAAATGTGCTTGGGTGGGTCAGGCAATTAGAACACCAGCCAGTCAGAAACAGTGTGACAAGATTGTCCAAATCCATTGATTAAGCTGCACCACTTGATTCTAGCTTTTATTTACCTTTTAAAATCTAAACAAAGAAGTATTGTGATTTTCAACATTACCAAATAAAATAGTGAGTTGTGTTTCACAACATATATCGTTTACCTCAAGCACTTTCAAAAAATTTCTTGGCCTCATAAACAGCCCAATTCACTTTCTTGAGGGAAGATTTCCTGATCTGGTTCTCAGAGCATTTTTAAAAATTATTTTAGTTGTGAAATATAATATATATTCAAAAAGTCTAAAGCATGGGTATATGGTTGAATTTTTAATTACAAAGTTGACATCCATTTGAGCATCATCTTCTTTGTCTGATGTTAATATAGCTACTCAAATTACTTTTGGCTCATGTTTGCAAAATATGTTTTTTTCCACATTGTGCCTGTTTTTTCATGGTAAATGGTGTGAGGTTCAACAACTTGTCTTTTACCTTGGAGGGGATATATTGACATTCTCCAGACCTCTGAATGCTCAGAAAATTCTCTGAGGTGATGGGCCCCTGAATTCTTGTGGGGTTTATCTCCCATCCTCCAGTTCACGTATCTTCCTAAGGCATCTTAAGTACTTGCCACTTTCTGTTCATCAGATCTAATCAGCATAATGTCAGTATAATGGACCAGAGTGACACGTGGTAGAAAGTCAAGATTAACAAGGTCTCTGTGAACTATGTGATGACAGAGTTCAGGAGAACTGACATAGCCCTGAGGAGACACTGGGCAAGTATACTTTCGGCTCTGCCAAGTAAAAGAAAACTGCTTCCACAGTCCTCGAAAACTGATATAGAGAAAAAAGTATTAGCCGTGTCATAGCTGCATACCAACTGCCAGGGGCCGTGTTGATTTGTTTGAGTAAACATACTCATCTGTGACAGCAGCTGTGATGGACCCACCACCTGACTGAGTTTATGATAGTCCACGGTCATTCTCCAAGACCCACCTGACTTCTGGTGAGTTAAATGGAGTTGTGACAGGTATCACCAGCCCTGCTTCTTTCAAGTTTTTCATGGTGGCATTCATGTCTGCAGTTCCCCCCAGGGATGTGGTTTTGTTTACGGTTTACTATCTTTGTAGGAAGAATATATCCTGTTCCAGAAGCTTCCATTTAGCCCTTCAATGGAATGCCTTCCCAAAGGCAATTCAATGGAGAAAGCATAGTCTTTTCAACAAATGGTGCTGAAACAATTAGATATCCAAATGGAAAAATAGTAATAACAATAATATAAAGTTAGACATTTACCTCACACTGTGCACAAAAAATTAACTCCAAAGGCATAACCTAATTATAAGAGCTAAAACCAGCCACTTGTAGAAGAAAAATTAGGATAAAATCTTTGTAAACTTGAGCTAAATGAACATTCCTTTGATATGATATCAAACACTAGTACACACAAATTTAAATTGGATTTCATCAAAATTAAATGTTTTTGATCTTCAAAAGACATCATTAAGAAAATGAAAAGACAAGACATAAACTGGGAGAAAATATGTGCAAATCATACATCTGATAAAGGACTTCCATCCAGAACATAGAAAGAATTCTGAAAACTCAATAATAAGAAAATAAACAACCCAATTAAAAAGGAAGGAAAGATTTGAATAGTCATTTCACCCAAGAAAATATACAAATGGCTAATGAGCACGTGAAAAGATGCTCAACATCATTAGTCATTTGTGAAATGCAAATTAAGACCACAGTGTGATACCAGTCACACTCACTGGCATGGCTATAGCCAAAAAGCCTGACAACATTGCAAGGATGTGTGGAAATAACAGCCTTTTACATGGCTGATGGGAAAGCAAATGATACAGCCACTTTCACAAACAGTTTGGCAGCTTTTTATAAAGCTAAACATATACTTACCATATATCCCAGCAATTCCATTCCTAGGCATTTACCCAAAAGAAATGAAAACACACATCTACAAAGACTTGAATGTGAATGTTCATAGCAGCATTATTTATAATAACCCCAAGCTGGAAACAATCCAAATGTCCATCAATTGGTGAATGAATAAAAAAAATGCAGTGTGTCCGTGCGATGGAATATTACTCAGCAATAAAAAAGAACAAACTGTTGACATATGCTAAAATATGAAGGTAACTCAACAACATTATAAGTGAAGGAAGCCAGACTCAAAAGACAACACAGTATGTAGTTCTCTTTGTAAAATGCCCAGAAAATGCAAATCTATTAATCAGAAAGCAGATCAGTGGTTGACTGTGGCTGGGTATGGGAGCAGGAATTGTTTGCAAACAGGCACAAGGTACTTTTGGGGTGCGATGGAAGTTTCTAAAATGATTGTAATAATAGTTCCACACGGCATAAATATACCACAGATTATTGAACTGTACTCTAACAATGTATAGATGGTATGGTGTATAAGTTGTGCCTTAGTAAAGCTATCAAAATTAATAAAAACAAATGAGATACCACTGTATACTTCTTAGAATGGCTAAAATTAAAAAGACTGATGATACCAAGTGTCGTAAGCTGTGGGGTAACTGGAATTCTCACACACAGCTGGTGGGAGTGTAAGATGATACAGCCACCATGGAACACTGTGGCGGTGCTAAAATACACCATATGCCTGCCTGCGCCAGCAATTCCACTTCTGGGTATTTACCCAAGAGAAATGAATGCATATGTCCATGGAAAGACGTGCACAAAAATGTTCTTGGTGGCTTCATTCATAATAGCCCCTGTTATGGCCTGAACATTTGTGTCCCCCCCGCAAATTCATATGTTGAAACCCTAGCCCCCATTGTGATGGTATCAGGAGGTGAGGCTTTTGGGAGGTGATTAGGTCATGAGGGTGGAGCCCTCATGAATGGGATTAGTGCCCTTATAAAAGAGACTCCAGAGAACTTTCTAGTCCTTCTTTCCACCATGTGAGGATACAATGAGAAGTCGGCAGTCTGCAACCCACAAGAGGGTCCTCCCCAGAGCCCGACCCTGATCTTGGACTTCCATACTGAAGAGCGGTGAGAAATAAATTTCTGTGTTTGTAAGCCACCCAGTCTACGGTACTTTGTTATAGCAGCCCGAACTGACTAAGACAGCCCCAACCCAGAAACAACAGAAATGCCCATCAACAGTAGAAGAGACGATGAATAGTGGGATATTGATGCTGTGGAATGCTGTATAGCAACAATGAGAACAAACTATTGCCGCATTCAAAAAAACCAGATGAATCTCACAGGCATGTGGATGAGGGAGAGAGGCCAGACACGAAACTATGTACGTATGATTCTATTTATAAGAAGTTTGAGAACAGGTAAAACTAATATTTAGTTATAGAAGGGAGAATCACAGTTACCATGATGGGGTGTTACTGACTGGGAAGGAACATGAGGGACCTTTCCATGAGGCTGGAAAAGCTTTATAGCTTGATGTGGGTGGAAGTTAAAGGATGCATATATAAATATGTGAAAATTTATTGAGCAGTACAGTTCACATCTGTGCATTTTGTTGTTATATATTATACCTCAAACTGGCTTTTCTTGGAAAAAAGTTTGGGCCTTGGACCTCTGCTTCTGAGTAGTGTGGAGGTGTTTGCGATAGATCAATGCTCTCACTGAGAACAAATAGGAAAGCTAGATACAATACAAAAATAGATACAATACAAAAATAACTTGTTTAAAGGCCTCAGAGAGCGGCTTGAACAACAAGAACTAGAGGGGTTAAAATTCTCCAGAGGGAGCGTCACAGAGAAATGATCTGAAATCTGCAGTCTCTTTTTTCCTGGGGACACTTGCTCATTTTAAGCATGGATGAAAGACTGAGAATTTGAGTTTTGCCTGGACAGAGGTCACTACTGGTCACAAATACTGCCCTGCTGGGCACAAGATGAATGAAACTCAGAAACGGGCTAAGTGAAGGAAGCCAAACTCAAAAGACGACATACTGTGCCTTTTATTTAAAATGCCCAGAAAAAGGCAAATCAATAGACAGCAGATCTGTGATTGACTGTGGCTGGGTAGGGAGCAGGGGTGGGTTCCAAACAGGCACAGAGCACTTTGTAAAGTCCCAGCAGGGCATTTGGTGGTCTTAGTGGTGGTGTGTGGGGGGGGTGGGCAGTGAAGGAAGGACCCTGGGCCCTCAAATTCAGACCTCTTCAGAGTTCTAGAACGGCATGTCAGAGAGGCACAGCTAAGGGGAAACTCTGAAAAACAGAGCAGATTTTTCCACAGGCTTTCACTTTTAGTGGATCGTAGAGATAAACGTGAAAGGTAAAGCAACAAATCTTTGAGAATAAAACATAGAAGAGTATCTTCATGATTTGGGGGTAGGCAAAAATTCCTTAAACAAGACTCAAACGCATTAACTATAAAGTAAAAATCTGGTAAATTGCATTACATTAAAATTAAGTCAAAAGACAGCACTAAGAGAATGAAGGGACAGCCCCTCGTGAGGGGGAATATATGCATGTGTATATATTTGCAAAGACATGTATCCAGAGTATATAAAGATCCCCTAAAAATCACGAAGAAAAATTCAAAGGACACCATAGAACACTGAGCGAAATACTTAAAAGGGCACTTCACAAAGAGGATGTCCAAATGTCCAATAAATATATGAAAGGTGTTAAATTTCAATAGTCATCAAGGAAATATACAGTCATGTGTCACTTAATGATAGAATATGGTCTAAGAGAAATGTGTCATTAGGTGATCTCGTCATTGTGTGAACATCATGGAGTGTACTTGCACAAGCCTAGATGGTACAGCCTCCTACACACCTAGGCTCTATGGTACTAATCTTATGAGACCACCATCATATATGTGGTCCATCGTTGACTGAAATGGCATTTTGCGGTGCATGACTGTAATTAAAATCACTATATGATACAGTACAAACCTTCCAGAATGGCGAAAATGAAAAAGCAGACAATACCAAGTGTTGAAAAGGATGTGAAGCAACTAGAACTGTCATATACCGATCCTGGGAGTGAAATTTGGTTCAGACACTTTGGAAAACCATTTGACAGTTTCTTTTTTTTGTTTTTTTGTGAGGAAGATCAGCCCTGAGCTAACATTCATGCTATTCTCCTGTTTTTGCTTAGGGAGACTGGCTCTGAGCTCACACTATTGCCAATCCTCCTCCTTTTTTTTCCCCAAAGCCCCAGTAGGTAGTTGTATGTCATAGTTGCACATCCTTCTAGTTGCTGTATGTGGGATGTGGCCTCAGCATGGCTGGAGAAGCGGTGCGTCAGTGCGCGCCCGGGATCCGAACCCGGGCAGCCAGTAGCGGAGCGCGCGCACTTAACCGGTAAGCCATGGGGCCGGCCCCGTTTGGCAGTTTCTACTAAAGCTAAGCACATGTCTACCCTATGACCCACTAGTTCCACTCTTAGGAATATACCTTACAGAAATACTCATGTTCACCAACATACACAAACAAGAATATTCATAGCAACACTGTTTGTATAAGCCAAAAACTGGAGACCACCCAAATATCCATCAACATAGTAGAACGGATAAATGAATTATATATTTAATCCTTGCAATAATCCTACAAATTAGGTGTTATTTTAGCCCCACTGTACAGATGAGGAAACTGAAGGTAACCTGTCCCGAGTCCCAGACCACTTTTGAGCACCAGCAGTCTGACCCCAGTCTGTATTGCCGTAACCTCCCCCACCACCTTCCCAACCCAGGTTCATGCTTGACTTTGCTACTTACCTGCTGTGTAGCTATGGACAAGTTAGTTAACCTTTTGGAGCCTTAATTATCTTATCTGAAAAATAGGTTGATAACAGGACCTACCTCAATAGGGTTGTGAAGATAAAGGAGGTAAGTTGGTTAAATGATAGAGTTGGGAACAGAATCCACATCCTCTGATCCCAGACCCCCTGCTTTTCCCAAAGTGTTTATCCCCACTAAAAGGCAGCTCGAAGAGGAGCCCTCTGAATGCTCCTTGGAGCTAAGAAGCTATTGGAGCAGCTGCAGGGGGGATGGGAGCGTTTCCAGACCACCGGAATAATGGAGTTCAATGGGATTGCTGTCCTAACACCCAACCTGAGAACACAGGCTTTTCATTCATTCTTTTCGACAAATATATATTGAGTACCAACTATAAGCCTGTCCTGAGTGTCCCAGAACGGTGATGGGCAACTTTGATTGGACAGGAGAAGAAGGCAGAGAGGCAAAGGTATTGTTGGAGATGACTCTTGGAGGTGTTGTGTTCTAAACTCTTTCCTCTCCCGCAACCCAAGATCTCCTGATCTCTTGGTCTTGTCAGTCTCTTGGTCTTACTGATTCTACACTACAGATCACTCTAATCCATCCCTCCCTTCCAGGCGCACAGGGCCAATTGGTGGTGCTGGCGGTGGTGGTGCAGCCCTCACTCACCCAGACCGCCGCCGGTGCATCCTACCTGGTTGCATCTCATCCTGCATCACCACCCTTATATCCTTCCCTGAAGCCTGAGTAATCTTTCTAAAATGCGAAGTTACTACGCTCTTCCTCTATTTAAAATATATCATTGCCCCGCCCCCTCCCGCGTTGGTATAGCTTACACAACCCTTCACACCGGTCCCTGCTTATCTTTCCAGTCTTATCCTCTATCCACCCCACCCCTCCATTGTTGCCTCCATCCCCAGCACTTTACTCTTTCACAGTTCAAAGCACTATAGTTCTCCCCCAGTACTCCCTGAAGTTCTGCTGCTAGTGTCCTCTAACATTGCTTGGGTCCAACTAGAAAACTCCTATGCAGCCTTCTAAGCCCTTTCATGGGTTGCTTCCTCTGGAAGCCTTGGCAGACTTCCTTCCTTTGAGCTAACCTGGCACCTTGTCCACACTTCTGTATGATCACACCCTAGAGTCACCATCATTTGGGGCCATGTCTGTCCCTCTACAGCTCCCAATGACAGGGACAGGGGCTGATTCATCTCTGCATCCCCTGGATCAGAGGGGTCTTGGTGGGCGGGTCAGGCAGAATGTTGGTGTCAAACAACAAGGTGGAGGGGTGAGATGGGAGCAGCATTTTCTGGAGCCATGGGAACTGATAGCTCTGTCCCTTCCTACTACACTAGTCTCCCCCCAACCCCCGCAGGAGCCCCAGATTCCTGCTCCAGCTCAGAGGGGCCGCTTACCTCTGCAAGTTTCCCAGGTGACACGTTTTGCTCCCCCACTGCCTGCACTCTCGGAAGCACTTAGCAGTGTTCTCAAGGTGAAAGGACTCATACATGTTCACGTTGACGAGCCCCAGGCAGACATTTCTCGGCATCTCCACGCTGGTGTTGGCATTTCCCTCACCTAAGGGAGCGATGCAGAGAGTGTGAATAGGCTGGCTGGGCAGGGACAGCAAGGGCAGGGAGTAGGGGGGAAGGAGCTCGGGCTCCAGAGCCTGGCAGTGTGGGCTGGAGTCCCAGCTCCATCCATCCACACTAACTGTGCGCTTGAGCCAGACTCATACCCTCTCTGGGCCTCAGTTTCCAAGGTGAAAGGAGATACTACCCCCCATCTCACAGGGCCAGTGGGATGCTTTGGGGAAAGTGTGTACAAAGGACTTGGCATGTGGTTCTGTCGATAAAAGCTTTCATACGTTAGTGCTATTACCCTTTACCGCCTCCTTCAGGGAGTCTGCCTGGCTTTTCACAGCCGTTCCATATCAGACTTTCCAAAGCCCTTGTAACTGTGGCCTCATGGCATAACTCTTGGATGTATTCCGTTTTGGTTTGCTTCATTCTCCCACATTCCCATTACAACCCTCACGGCGACCTCCTGGGGTGGGTAGAGAACACAGCAAGCTGAGGCCGCCTGGAGCCCAGTCACTCGAGCACAGTCACCAGCCAGTTGGAGACGGCTCCGGGACCAGAGACCAGCCTTCATGACTTCTAGTTCAGTTCCCTTTCACCTGGTACAGGGGATGGAGTGGAAGCTTTGGGTCATTTACTAGCTGTGTGACCTCAAGCAAGTTACTTAACCTCTCTGAAACTCAATCTTCTCATCAGCCAAATGGGGCTAATAACACCTTCACTGCAAATTTTAGGGAGTATTAGAGATCACATGCATAAAGAACATAGCTCATTGTAGGTCTTCAAAGAGGCAGTCTTATTTATTCCAGGACCTGAGAATTTCATTGTAAAACTATTTGTATATCATATACTTACGTTGGATGTATGTATGTGTTTACATATTTAGCCATCTCTCAACAAAAGTAACACTTGCACAGAGTTAAAAAAAAAAAAAAACAATTAAACCGTGCACAAGGGCGTAAAATGAAAACTAAAAATTCCCGCAGCTCCCAGGTCACCTTCCAGGCTTCACAACCTGTAATAGTTTATTGCACACCCCCCCGAAGAAATTTTCTATGCTTATGTAAATCATTTTAAAATTTACACGAATGGGCTCACTTAGCAATATATCTTGAAGAGCTTTCCACATTGGCACATGCTGATCCATCTCATTCTTTATATACTTGCAGACTCGTCCCTTATATGGGTATTACAACGCTTTTTCTGTTGGTTCTCTATTAGTGGACATTTAGGGTTGTTGTTTTTTTGTTGCTTTTTTCTATTTCGAACCATGCTGGGTACATCTTTGTCAGCTCGTGTTAATTCATAGAAAACATTCCTATCATAGGAATTTCTGGGTCAAATGTGTGTGCTTTTAAAAATGGCTAGGTGTTATTGAATTTCCTTGTAAAAGGGATGTACCTATTTACACTCCCACCCAAAGTGGGCAAGAGCGGCTATTTATCTTCATGCTCATAATCCTAGACTTTACCAAACTTTCAAATCTTTGCCAATCTGAGGGGTAAAAATGAATTTCATTTTAATTTAAGAAGGAGTCGGAGCATCTATTTGTATGTCTTTTTCCGTGAACTGCTTTGTCGTATCCTTTTTCCATTTGGGGGTGGGGGGACTTGACAATCTGCGTGCTTTATCTTCCCGACTGGCCCCCCAGGGACTGTTGCGGGGGCTACCTTTGGGATGTGCGGTGCTCGGGGTGAGGTGGGCAGAGAGATATTTACTTTTCATTTTTTATATCCTTCTCTGGTGTTTGATTTTTGTGTTTAAATCATGCACAGTGTTACTTTCACAATAAAAGAAACTAGTTAAATTTTAAGACAAAAATAAAATACATGGTACAGATAATGGCAGACCAAAGTTAGAGTAAATGTAGGGTAAAAAGAAAGTAACATTTTAGCAGATTTTATAATAATCAGATCTATGTGTAACAATGTTTTAAGTAGCTTACAAAGGAACTTAAATTTTCTGTTAGATTGTAAGGATGTCCACAATGCATTGTTTAATGGAAAGAGCACACAATGGGTGAACGTGTATATAACATGATCCACGTTTGCTTTTAAATGAAAGAGGAAGAGAGGGGTAAGAGGGAAGAGGGGGAGAAAGGGAAAAAAAGAGGAAGAGGGAAGAAGAGAGGAGAGGAAGAGGCGCGGGGGTGGAGAGGAGTGCAGGGGAGGAGGTAATTGTCAACTCGAGGGAGATGCCATTCTCTCTGTGATCGCAGCCCTCTGTGTGCCCAAGGGGTTACAAATGGGTGCTGGGTGCAGGTTGTACGGAGGTGGGTGTGAACAGAGCTTCCCTCCTGGCCTGCCATGAAATTTCAGTGCAGTCATGTATGTGAAGCTCTTGCCAAGCCCCTAGCGCAGAGAAGATTATTAAGTATCTTTTTTGCAATTATTTTTGGAAGACGTGGGAAGCATTTAGCCCAGACAGGGAGAGCCTGAACCAGGCCAGTGTGCAGGATGGTGCCCCTCCGCCCCTCCGTCCCACTCTGCCCGGGGCCAGCCTCCGAGGACCTCCTCAATCTGGGCTCATACGGGGAGTGGGCCGGAAGCAGAGGGCAGGAGGGTGCGGGGGGGGGGTTACTTGCCCCTTGCGGTGCCCCTACAGCCCCTCCCTACAACTCGCCACCAGCCGCCTGCTTTTCTCTGGCCCAGCTTGTTCTCCCAGGCGCAGCCCTGGCGTGTGACACCCTTCTTGGTTCCCCCGCCCCCACCCACACCTTTGTAAAGTGTCCCTTTATTGAAGAGTGTGCCTGCCTCCTGCTTGGCCCCCTCTACGCCTGGACTCCTCTGAGGCACCCCCCACCCCCCGTCACTCTGCGGGACTGTGAGTCCCCTGAGGGCAGGGACCCTGTGGTGAACCAGCACAGGGCCCGCAGTCCGTGGAGGGCCCCGTCAGTGCTCCTTTTATGAATGAATGAATGAATGAATGAGCAAACAGATGAATGGCGACTGACCCATAAACATCTCCAAGGGAAGGAGATAGAAACCTCTCAAGGCTCCTCACCGCATTCAAGTGGCTGGCGCTTTGCCCAGACCAGAGCACCCACATTCCCGTAGGGTAAGGTCCATCGCAGGGGAGCCTCGGAGGCCCAGCCGGTGAACGGAGCTTTTGTGAAGGGCCCCGGGTCCTCAGGATGCCCACCGAGACCAGATGATGGCCGACGTCGGTTAGTAGGTTAATTAATCCTTCAAGTGTTGCCTGACGGCCTGCTCTGCCCCAGCCCTCCCCACACCACCAGGAGGACAGCACTGCCCTTTGTCACCCTTTTTGAGCCAGGCACTGAACTTTGACCTTCACTGAATCTTCCGTTTGACGAGAATAGGTTTCCTTGAAGCCCAAAGAGATTAATTCATGTGTCCAAAGCCACATGTCCCCATGCTGGACAGACACACAGGGGGACAGGCCACTCGCTGACTCAAGAGCAAAGCAGGAGGAGGCTCAAGGCACTGAGACAGGAACCTGAGGAGGGGGCACTCCCTCTGCCCGCGGGGACCACCACAGACGGAAAGAGCGGTGGGAGGGCAAATGAGAGCGGCTTCCCCTGAGACAGGACAGGAAGGGCAAGGCCTGAGGTCTCAGACCTCTAGAGAGCCACCACATGTGTGTGCAAGGCCGAGAGGAGGGGGCGGGGAGAGTCTTGTTCCTGGCTTGGCCGTATGAGGACTGTGGGGCCATTGCGGGGACAGAGAGAGGGGAGCCGGCGGCGGGGCAGGGTGGCAATCAAGGAGGGGAGGGCAGCACAAGTGGCCGGCCTCAGCCTCAGAGCACCCCAGCCCCCTTCCCCAGGAGCGCAGAGGCCAGCTGGAGAAGAGCTTGTCCAGGGACCAACCATGTCCCGGAGCCAGCCCGTCGGGGAGCCACAGCCCAGAGTGGATCTGACACCCAGCGCTGACCGAAGTTTATCAGGATGACATCTAACTCAGGAAGGTGCTGAGACCATCAGAGTGGGCTCCTCAGAGGATATGCTCCAGACACCCCGCTCCCTACCCACTCCCTGTCCCCATCCCTGGGTCTCCCAGACTTGGCAGGAGGGGACGAGGAACCAGCTGCTCACCTGAGGCCAGAAGCAGGAGGAGCCAGAGAAGCAGGAGCCCCAGGGCCCTGGGCATCACCATCCTTGGCCAGCCTTGCCCACACTGGCCGGAGCCCTGTGGCCGTGTGTCCGTCTGGTCTCAGGCTCTGCCCAGCCAGCCTGCCCCCACCCCCCGCAGCCACGTCACCACTTCCTGTGGCCTCTTCCTGCTCCATGGCGCCATCGGTTGGGTTGTGAAAGGTGACTGGGGAGAACGAGGCAGTGCTCCTGGCCTCACCCCAGCCCGCAGAGGAGCCGCTGAACCCACCCAGGGACGCTGCTCCCAGGGCCCCGCCTGGGTGGGCGCTGCAGGGCTGGGGTCCAGCGGCCACAGAGGCCTCCGCACCTAAGCAGACACCTAGGGAATAGTGATGAGCACAGGCTTTGGAGTCAAACACACCCAGCTCAGACCTTCCTCTCACAAGCTGAGGGCCTCTCTGAGCCTCCGTTTCCTCCTCTGTAAAGCAGATACAGCAATGGCGCTGCTTCCTAGGGCCATGTCGGGGTTTGAGGAGGCCCGTAACACGGCCTGGCTATAGAGATGAGGGTGAAGATGTGGACAGGCTCATGTCTCTCATTCATGCTCGTGGTTTGGACAAGGCCGGGCTCAAGCCAGCCCTGGAGGCCACGGCCCTCTGCCACAGACTGGAGAGCGGGAGAGGCAGGGTAGTTGAACAGGAGCACTGGCTCTGGGGTTGGTCGGGCCTGGGCTGACGCCTATCCTGGCCACTTCCCAGCTGGATGAGCTTGTGTGAGCTGTCCGCTGCTACGAGCCTCCCACGAGTCAAGTGGAGAACTCACGAGATGATGCGTGTGGAATTCCTCGGCCAGTGGGTGTGGCCATTATCGTCACTAACATTTTACGATTATCGGTAATGCGAAATTACTGTCGTCGTCGCCCAGCTCGTTACAGGTGGCCCAGGCGGGAAGTGGGGGCAGCAAACACGCATGGGGTGCAGCATGAAGGAAGGGGAGGGGCTGACCACTCAGAGCCCTACTCTGGGGGCCCCAAGGAAGCCGTGGGATGAGGCCAGGGCCCTTGGCGGGGTTCCACGGCCACTGTGAGATCACAAGATGAGGGGCCCCCCGCCAGGAAAGTGCATTGTCACCAGCATCCGCCCTAGGCCCTCAGGGCCAGAGCCAGACCTCCGCCTTGGGGGTCTAATGGGGACTCAGCCAGCCCCCACTGGTCTCTACTTTCCCATCCTCCCACACAGTGTCCAGACAGGACACAGTCCCCCGTTGGGCCCTCTGGGCCTGGGGAGGAGGGGAGGAATGTCTGTCGGGGTCACTCATGGCGTGTGGACGGCAGGTGGGAATCTGGCAGGGAGCCCCAGGCACTTCCTCTGCAGGGGAGGCTGCAGGGCAGATGGGAACCACTGGGCCTGCCCCTCCTCCCCACCAGCAGCCTGCCCCGACCCACCGCCTCCCTCCCAGCCGCAGGCCAGGGGGAGGGGAGACGGTGGACAAGGCTGTGTGACCTGTGACCTGCTAGGCCCTGGGAGACCTGTCCTGGCGCCTGGGCCCTCAGAGGGGCTCACAGGTGCCTGTTTGTGAGAAAGGGCCTGGAGATCTGCCGACTCGGCCCCAAAGTGTTCGGGAGAGCCGGGAAGACAGGACCAGGGGGCCAGCGAAGTGGCAAGGAGGGGTCAGGCAGGGCCAGAGGGAGGGCCACCTCTGGGCCCCACAGGGGCTGAGGACTGAGCTGGAGCCACTTACAGAGCCCTGGGACCTCCAAATCCCAAACAGAACTGTAGGTTCCCCTTCTGCCGGCTCCCACCCCCCGCTTATCCAAAGGGCTCCGGGTGGGCTCCTGTCTCCAGGGGCATGGCCTCCAGTCCCCCGGCCAGGCGTGGCCTGCAGTCCCGCCTCTGGCCGCTCCCGTCCATTTCCCGCACCAAACGGATGTCTCCAGACACAAACCTGGTCATGTCCTGGTGGGAACAGTGGTCCTATTGTCCGAGGCCCCACAGCCCAGTGAAGTGCACGATAAGAACCGTCAGGGTCAAGGAGCGCCACGGAGCTGTCAGGTGGCCTGTCAAGGGCTTGTCTCGAGAAGATGGGACCAGACCCGGGACCCCCTTGCCCACTACACGCGCTGGCCTCGAAAACAAAAACTAGGTGTTCACGAGAGTTCATCGAAGCGGGAGAATTTGAGGGGAGGGCTGCCTGCCTGGGGGAGGGGGCCGGGTCCTTTCCTTCTCTCCCTGGGGATTGGGGATAGGACGCCTCCCCAGGTCTAGCCAAGCGATAGGGCGCCGAGAGACTGAGGGATCTGTGAGAGGGGAGCTGGCTCTGCCCCCGCTGAGCTGCCCAATCGGGACACTGTGGGGGGCCCCTTGGGAAGGTTTGGCCTCTGTCCCCAGGAGCTGGAGGAAGGTGGAGGCAGAGGCCAAGGGAAGAGGCAGGAGCGGAGGAGAGGTCGGGAGAAAGGCAGGGGCGGGGCGGGATGGGGGCGGGGGGTGTTCCACATGCCGAGGTCCCTGCGGGTCCCCAAAGATCTCACATTCATGCCCATCCGTCCACCCCTGGCTGCCAAGGTGGCTTCGCACCCATCTCATCCAACCCCAGAGACCGCGTCCCTTTCCCCGGCCCGCCCTCCCCTGGAGCAGCCGGGAGAGGGGGGAGGAGACCGCGGAGGGCAGAAAGCCTGGATGTGGATCTGGGGGGGCCCCGCCCTGGACATTTAGACCTGGACACGAATAGCAGTCATGGAACACACCTGCTCCCATCACTGAGAGGGACAGAAACCTATGTGATCTGCCTCACCTGTGTCACGGGACGGGAGGGGAGACTTGACAGAACAGGCTGAAGGCAGCGATGGGAGAAAAGCCCGGTCATTTCATTCCTGCAGTCCACCTACTCCACACTGGTCAATAAACTGGTTACACATGTCACGTGACCAGCCAAGGGCTGCATTACCCAAGTTTTTTGGATTAGCCAAATTTTTAAGTCAGGGGATTTTGCACCACTCCAATCTGGATTTCTCAGTTACCACAGAAAGGCGAGTGGTCTGGCTACATGGGCCCTCATCCCTGCAGGCAGTGACCAGCTGAAGCTGAGTAGCAGCTGCTCCCTCGGCGTGGGGCTTGTAATCTCTGGTTCACCACAGACCCCACCGCTCCCCATTGCCTCCCCAACACTGACATCATGTCGCCATTTATCCTCCTCCTTGCCCTGATAAAGTCTCCAGCAGATTTTTTTACACATGGCCCTCTTCTCTTGTTCATCTTTCCTGATGGGCCCCGAGGTGTCCATATCAGTGACTCTTAATAGAAGCACAGAAGACAGCTCAGAACAAAATGCTCCAAAATGTTGACATTGGTTTGTTGATTTTTATTTTCTTCTTTATACTCTTCTACAGTTTCCAAATTCTCTACGATCAACATGTACTTCTTTTTAATATCAAAAGACAAATGAAGTGGTATTTAAAAAGAAAATCCTCCCCATCTTTAAGGCTGAGATCCAGATCAAAAGCTGCCTCCTGCAGGAAGTCTTCCTGGATTTCCAGCCAGAAATGATGGCCCCCTGAACCCTGTGTCTGGAGCTCTTGTCTGTACACGCCTCACGCACTAGACAGAGGGATCCCAAGAGGGAGTGACCAGGTCTGGCCATCTGTATCCCAAAGAGTTAACTGTGATGGGCTTGAGCGAGCTCCAGTCCCTCTGCAGGGACTCAGGGACAACCCCTTAGGAGCGCGTCGGGCTCCGGGCCAGTGTCGCCGGGGAGGCACGTCTGTCTTCAGAGTGCTGGGGTGGAAACAGATTTGGACTGTACGCTCCACAGCTCTTGGCACAAGAGAGCTCCGGGAGAGGCTGGGGGTCCTAGGGAGGAGTGGGCTCGGCAGTGTGAGCAAGGGCGACACAGCTTATGGGGAGGCCCAGATGGACAGACGGACCAGCCCCGCCCAGAACGTCTACACTAAGCCTGAGTCAGGGGCAGGCAAAGGCCCGCGCAGTAGATACAGGTTTACAGCAGGCACCAGGCAGCTCCTGGGACCACTACCCGGAATACAGCATTGCAACTGGGGCCCCCAGCTGTGAGTGGAGGACAGGGGAGCGGAGAGGGAGGGCTGGGAGGGACAGGGGAGGGGAGAGGGAGGGCTGGGGAAGACAGGGGAGGGGAGAGGGAGGGCTGGGGAAGACAGGGGAGGGGAGAGGGAGGGCTGGGGAAGA